TACCAACTACAGAAAAACTGCACAAAGCATACATTTAGTCCTTATTTAGGTTCAAAAAGACCACCTCTTCTCAGAGAAAAGCTTTTATCCGTGTCTGTAATCTTTAGCAGCACGTGTAGCCTCTGTTAGAGAGCAATTCCATCATTCCCAGTTCATATTAGTCCAAAAGGTGATGATAATAGTTGAACAAGGCAGTTTGTTCACGTTTGCTGAAGAAATAATCTGCTCCTTTTTTCCGGCTTCTCCTATTTCTCTGTTTCTCCGCTGCTCATTCTCGTGTTTGTCAGTGTCTAACAGGATCGGGTTTCAAAAGCACGTCAATAATCAAGCGCACGTTATTATCATCAGCTCAAGAAGTTTGTTATTTCAGATATAGACGCGAGAAAGTGAAAACGCGAGAAAGCGAAAACGATCGCGCTTCAGACTGGCTAGTAAAAAACTACGAGGCACAGGGTAGATTCTGCTCTACTCCATGGCTTTGTGGCTGTTTATCAAGATGACGACAAGGTTTGTTTGAGCCCGGGTCGACCATGGCTTGTTATTATATGTGTATATAATTCCGCTGTAATCTCTCGGCTGTGTAAACATGGCAGGATTTTTGTTTTTATTCCGGCTAGTGCAAGGTAGAAAGCTAAACCGATCGCGCTTAAGACTGGCTCGTAAAAAACTACAGAGCAAAGGGTAAATCTGCTCTTCTTTTTGGCTTTGTGGCTGTTCATCAAGACGACGACAAGGTTTGTTTGAGCCCGGGTTGACCATGGCTTGTTATAATTTGTATATGTAATTCCCCTGTAATCTCTCGGCTGTGTGTTTTGCAGGTTTTTTTTTTCATTCTGGCTTGTCGCGCAAGCGAATGACGTATCTTTGTAAACCAATAGCATTCAGCTGCACGACTAGCTCCGCCTTTGGTACCCTTTCTCATGTTTGGTACCCTTTAGAAAGGGTGCGAAAACAGTGGTACAGTACGGTTCGGTCCGCCTTTTGACAGTGGAAACGGCCATAAAAGCACATCAAACTGAACTGTACTCTACCACTTAGTGCAAACGGGCCATAAATAACACCACATACATAATATAACCCACATGTTTACTATTAACAAATAATAAATCTATAAACCATTTTTTGCTTTTAAGTAATCACACATTCTGAAAATAAACTCTGATTATACATGCAGCATTATTGACGACTTAATTTCTAAAAATCATCATAAGATTTCTTTGAATGGCTCTTTACAAACGCACACATTTAAACTAAGACTGTGTGTGTGTGTGTGTGTGTGAGTGTGTGTGTGTGTGTGTGTGTGTGTGTGTGTGTGTGTGTGTGTGTGTGTGTGTGTGTGTGTGTGTGTGTGTGTGTGTGTGCATCAGTATTTATGACCGATAATTTGAATAGACATCAACAATTACTGCGTTTCATTCATGAATGATTAACGAGAGTTCACTAAAGAGTCACACTGCCGCCATTCATAGAGTATATGACTGCTGGAGGACTGCTTTCAACATTTCACTCACATACTGCTGAGAGATTTCACAAATAACTACAAAAAATATTATTAAATCTAAAAGAAACTGGCCTTATTAAAGCTTTACAAGTTATAATTATGCTATAATGTTTTCATGCAAGTGTTCATCTCTATTACTTCCTGGAAAACAGCAGAAGCTATTTAGCAGCTAATGCAAGAAAACATAGTTAATGATCTGCATCATATGTGGAGCCAGCCATTTCAGTATTATCTGTGCAATTCATGTTATTCCTGAAAAAAAACACACACACATCATCAAAGCGAGTTTTGCAGGGAATCATCGGGTATTGTAGAATATTATCTCTCTGGGCTAATGAGTTGTAAATAAGAGTGATCAGTATAATCTTCTAATCAGATTATGAACTGATTACATGCAGCTGTGTGTGTGTGTGTGTGTGTGTGTGTGTGTGTGTCTGTGTGTACTTTTTTTGTGACTTATCAGGACACAAATCTGTATAATGACATGGGTATGACACAGGTATTACAAAAAGGAGGTGAAATATGAGGACATTGGTGACATACTCATTTCTCAAAATGCTTATAAATCCCACAGGATGAGTTTAATCAGTGAGTAAAGCTCCACACAGTCTCCTGTGATGGTTGGGTTTAGGGGTGGGGGCAAAATAATAAACGGTTTGGACAGTATAAAATCCTATGTAATGTCCCCACTTTTCACAAAAACAAACGTGTGTGTGTGTGAGATCGCCACCTGCTGGACAAACACTAATACAAATAAATGCTCTAGAAGGTTCAATAGTATGAAGCTGCAGGCCCGGAGACCCAACCGCACGCTCAGACTTGCTCGCTCAGACAGCTAGACCTACACTTCCAGACATTCACAGTGCCACCTGCTGTTTAAAAGATCGACTAACCTGATTTCAGCTGCTTCTAAATTGTAATTTAAACTATTTTTGTACTATAAAATATAAGGCTATGGTTGAATAGATTGTTATATGAAATATTAAACATACTAGATTTTTGATTTAATGAATTAATTCTGTTGTATTTTTATTAATTGTATTTGTAAATAGATATTGTTCAGTTACTTCAATATTTTCAGACATTGGTTGTTGTTTTCATTATTGAGGATTTATCACTGTTTCGTATTGAGTTGAGGGAATGAATATTATCTTCATATGCAATAAATTTCTTCACATACAATTATAGTACTCTAAGTAATTGTCTCACAACAAACTTTATTTTTGTGTACTTTTTCATGAGCTCCTACAAGTCAAGTTGTAAACAATGCATAGAAAAATGGTGAAAAATAATAATTGGAATAAAAATTATTTTTTACGCAGAAAATAACATCGAATAAAATGCTTTACATTCTTATTGGGGAGATTTTTCATTTCTAGAGCAAATAAACTGGAAATATCTGCAGTCTTTGGCACATTGTATGAGTGTTGGCAGAGACCCACTTTTTAAATGTAATATAAATCTGGGAAAAAATACACACCACTAGCAAATTATTTTTGATTTCACCTAAGAGAGCTCATATTGTAAATTCTATGCAGATTAACTGATATTTTGATCTCCAAAAAACGTGTTTGTCATAATTACAGAACTTATAAATAATTGATAAACTGTTATTGTGTTAATGTTATTGTCTTTCGTAGCACTTTCATATAGATAATACATTAATATGTACAGTAGACCTATACAGCACTAAAATATGTCACAAATAATAATTGCGCTATATATTATAGCCTACATTTTATTTTAACATTTTTACTTTAAAGTTTTGTTTTATTTTGCCAGAAAACATTGTTAGAAAATTGTCCCAGAATGGTACAATAATAGATCAAATAAGAGCAAGCTGTAAATATCATAAAATAATGCTCTTTTGACACTAATTTTGATCAAATCAAACACTGAAATAATTGTTTGTTAGTGTAATATATTACACCACATTGATTTATGCCATAAAACTTGGTAATTTTCAGGAATCGCTTTAATAATCAATAACCTTACTGACGTTTCTAATGTTGCTACTTGCTAGAAAGGGCTGGTCTGAGTGTGCAGTTGGGTCTCCTTACCTGCTGCTTCACCCAACCCAACAGCAGCGGGCACTGTCTGGTCTGGAAGTGCAGGTCTGTGCGCGCTGGTCTGAGCGTGCAGTTGGGTCTCCAGGCCTGCAGCTTCCCCTTACTCAGAAGGTTTGATGCTTGGGTTGCCAGGTTTTCACAATAAAACTAGTCTAATAATACAAAGTAATAGTCAAAGTAAGCCACTTACATTTGTTAAATAGGTTTTACATCACTGTTTGCATTATACATCCATTTTTATAAGCTCTGTATATTATTAATTGTAAACAAAAATGTATTTTCATAAATAAAATCATGCGACTGCCACGTGCCATCCAATTAAAAATCTAAAATATGCGGGCAAATGCAAAACCACTCTGCTGAAAATGAACCCCAAACTTGTGAAATTAATTTAAGCATAATGAGATTTTAAAAATCTAAAATAAACATTCATACAATGATTTTCTTTTCTGCTTAGTCCCTTTATTAAACCGAATCAGTCGCACATTGTAAATACATTACTTATTTTTAGGAACAATCCTGAAAAGTTCTGCTAATCTGTTACCATGGAAACGTAATCAGTCGGGCATTTTAAATACCTTAGTTATTTTTTAGCAACAATCATAGAGAGTTTTGCCCAGGGCCGTTGCTAGAGATTAAGCTCTACTGGGGCGCAGTTCCCCCTCCAAAAAATATTAATAAATATATACACACGCATATATATTCATTCATTTTCCCACGCGAATGCAGGGAGAACATGCAAACTCCACACAGAAACGTCCAGCAGAGGCTCGAACCAGCGACCTTCTTGCTGTGAGACGACAGCACTACCTACTGCGCCACTGCTTCGCTCTTTATATATATATATATATATATATATATATATATATATATATATAAATATACATATACATATAAAATATAGAAAAAAGTCATGAGAGTTTAGAAATCTTTTAATAAGTATTTCAGTGAGTGCTCTATAAAGGGTTAACAACAACATGCACTGCAATAGAAATCTACAAATGCAAATAGATAAAGTGAAAAATAAACACTTAAGTGTATTCTAGACATTATGAAAAGCCAAAAAACTTAAAAATCACCAAATTAACATGTGAATAAGTGTTTTTCCCTTTATTGTCTCGTATTAAAGCAATAATTCACCACTCAATGAGTATTTTCTAAATCTCTTTGAGTTTCTGTTGAACACAAAAGCAGTTATTTTGAAGAATGTGAAACCTGTAACCATTGACTTGCATAGTGTTATTTTTGCTATGGATGTCAGGTTTCCAACACTCTTCGAAATACCTTTGTTCGTGTTGAGCAGAAGAAGGAAACAAACTCATAATGGTTTGAAATGGCTTGAGGGAGAGTAGATGGAGAGTGAAATGTTTATTTATTGTGTGAGCTGTCTCTTTAAGAGTGTGCATGAATCGGTCTCTCTCGGTCTGCAGTTCTGGCAGTTTGGTGAATGGGTGGACGTGGTGATCGACGACCGGCTGCCGACGAAGGATGGCAAACTGTTATTCGTGCACTCGGCGGAGGGTGGAGAGTTCTGGAGTGCTCTGCTGGAGAAGGCCTACGCCAAGTACGACAGTCTCGAATTAAATTCACCCAAAAAAATGTAATGCTGATATTAATTACTCACCCACAGGTCAGGGTGCGCACACAAGTTTGTATTGCCATTTGAATACTAAATGTAGTAGTTCTGACTGGGATCGTTTGACTGATTACACGAGCTGGATTCACTGGTGTGAATCAGATGCGCTAGAAATGCAGCACACTGAGGACATCTGCTGGTTACAAGGGGGTAATGCAAAAGCGCAAAATGAAAATATACATTATCATTCGTCAGTGTGGACACACACAAATATGTTTATCATTACATTTAGAATATTATGTTTAGTGTGAACAGGTCTTAATATTTTCAGTCTCATACATCTAAAACTCATGCACTTAGTCTGTCTTCCTCAGGCTGAACGGCTGTTACGAGGCTCTGTCTGGAGGCAGCACGTGTGAAGGCTTCGAGGATTTCACCGGTGGAGTGACAGAGATGTACGAGTTAAAGAAAGCTCCCGCTGACCTCTTCAGCATTATTGGCCGCGCCATCGAGAGAGGCTCGCTGCTGGGCTGCTCTATTGATGTGAGTGTAGGATTCAGTTGTTGATTTATTTATCTGGGTAAAGTTGTCCAGGCAGTAAAGACTGAATGCTGCATGTTTTGAAGCCTCGGTGCTTTAGTAACTCTGACCTGCATTAGTACATGTGTGTGGTATGCAACACTAAGGTGCTAGAATGTCATTGGCAGTTATTAAGCAATAGGCAACCAATCAGGAGAGACCTTGTAAATTATTATTTTCCTTCGGATTAGTCTCGGTTTCAGGTCGCCACAGTGGAATGAACCACCAACTATTCCAGCATAGGTTTTATGCAGCAGATGCCCTTCCAGCTGCAACCCAGTACTGGGAAACACCTACACACACACATACTACAGCCAATTTAGTTCATCCAATTCATCTATAGCGCTGGTGAGAACCAGCAAACTTCACATGGAAATGCCAACTGGCCTAGCTGAGACTCAGACCAGCGACCTTCTTGCTGTGAGGTGACCGTGCTAACCACTGAGCCCCAGTCAGGGCTCAACAATAAGGACTGTCCGGTGGCCCAGGGCCAGCGTGAGAGACACTTGGGACAGTAGACCGGATCATTACTGGCCCGATTGGGACAGTGCTGCCTTGTCACTAAAATTTAATTCGTCTTTGACTATTTGTCAGTTGCGTGCATTTTAAGTTTGTGCTTTTAAATCTTTAAATGCTACCTTCTCTGTAATGTCGTAAACAACATATTGCTTTCCGATTCGTCTTATCTGATTGATTTGACCATGCTATTTTTTCTTTGCAACCTGGTAACAACCAGTACAGCGTAGAAACAGCAACATGGCGGCAACATCAAATTAAAAGGCTAAACGAAAATGTCTGTCTCTAACGTGTTGGAAGTAGACATTTACGTGGAAACATCATGACAAAATAAAAGTGAAGTGATGTTATGTTATGCAGTTTGCCGTCAGTTTGACAAGTCAGCCACCTTTTGTTAAATAATTTCAAACTGCAATAAAATGCCTCCACATTTTCCATACTGCTCTTTTTGTTTGCATAACACTTATATTTACAATTGTTTTTTAAGTATTGGAATTCTAGATTTACAAACTTTATTTTTGACACATTATTTAAAATATGTGGTAAAAAAAAGAGCTATTAACTTCCCGTTTCCCATTTTGACAGGGCAAGTAAAAATCTAAACCACTTGCCCGATCGGACCAGTAGAAAAAATCCTTAGCGTTGAACCCTGCCAGTGCTGCCCTAGTTTCAGATTCTGATTTAAAATGTTGTACAGCAATGACAAATTGTGGCCACATTTGCACCAATGACTAGTTGTCATGTACAGTATAGAATAGTGCAGTATTTCCCGTTAGCATTTGTTTATCATTCAAGTTTTGATTGTAGATTTGTGCTTTAAACATTTATATTTATTTGAATTTTAATAAGTACATAGAAACATTGTCGTTTTTTGCAGTTTATTTAGTTTAGTTTAAAAGTGTAGTGGCAATTTTCTTTAAGGAGGCTCTCTCAGTGGTCAAGAGGACAAATACTTACCCACAGAGTCTTTTAAAGTTTCATTCTTTGCAAAGAAGCTCACACGATCATACATCAACAACAGCTTCAGCAGAGAGTGAGACGCAGAAACAGAGTGCATTCTCTTTTTATCTAGTTTGTAATACCCACAAGGTCATCAGTGGCGAACAGGATGAATCAGCGACTTCATTTTTGACCATCTACATTTCAGTCTTACCTCCCATCCGAACATGTAGTTTGTAAAATCACCATGTACTTATCCAGATCTTGTCTGGTGATAAACTGATGTTAAAGTGGTCACGTTTGGTCTAACTTAAACAGTACATCCATGGAAGAATAAAAGAACAGACCTTTATAGTGTATATAAATTTCCACCACAAAAGCAAAATATCCATTTTAAGTCTAATAATTATTTCAAAATCGCAGAATAATGACTTAATAGTTTGTGTTTTTATTTTGTGCTTTTGTCATTTTTTGCTGAATTTGTGAACTTTTTTTTTCAGTACTTCACCTTTAGCTGCCAAGACAACGTTTCAAAGATTTTTTTCTATTATTTGAAATAAAGGTGAGATAAAAAATAAAATGTATAATTCAGTTGCAAGTTGACAGAAAAAAAAACGTGACTTTTTGATGCGCATGCTGGAATTTATTTGGTAAATGTGTTTCCACTGTAGTTTGTGCATTTTCATTTATCGCAAAGAAATGTTAAGCGGATTTTCAAAATGTGTGCGCATCTTGGCTTTTACATTAAGAATTTTTTAATGCACATATCAAAAATAAGAATAAAAAGTAGGTGGATGGAAACGTAGCTAGTACTTGACCTGACTGATTACACGAGCTGGATTCACTGGTCAGATGCAGATTTTAATACTGAATATCCTGTTTTTAATGTGGTGAATTTTGTTTTTATTTATTTTTTTTTTTATAATTTTTTTTTTTTTTTTACAAGATCACCAGTAAGTTTGACATGGAGGCGGTGACCTTTAAGAAGCTGGTCAAAGGCCACGCATACTCTGTGACCGGAGCAGAAGAGGTGAGCCAAAGACTTTAAAACAACTACTAGACACACAATCTGACAGTCTATCTGAGTCTATGTTTCATACTTTAGTCAATCGAAGATCCTATGAACTCTTAAAACTCTAAATCAAATGCAGCATTAATCCAAAATGGATGCTTCTTATTCTCTTAAACCTCCTGTTGTCTTCTGTGTAGACCATTCATCCTTTGGGTCAAAAAATGTCCCGCCTTCACTAAACCTCTAAAATAAAGCAGATCAATTGAATTTCAATCCACAGGTCTATTTTGCATGAAGAAAACTTGATCTTCATTTTTTGTGAATGTGCAGAATTTCCCTCATCAGTGTGCAGTATTTCAGCAATGTTTAATCAGTGGACAACACCTGTTTCTCACTAAAGTAAAGGGGGAATTTTGTAATGCTAAAAATATCTGCATGAGTAAAATAATTTTAGCAAAACAGTATTCATAAAGTTTGTATTTGTATTTTGTGTGTGTGTGTGTGTACCTGTAGTTTTTGTGGTGTAAATAAGTTTAATAGCTGGGTTGATGATAATTAATAATATTAATTTCTTACACATACATACACACACATATATATATATATATATATATATATATATATATATATATATATACACACACACACACACACACACACACACACACACACACACACACACACACACACACACATATATATATATATATATATATAATGTTGACATAAAAAAGCAAGTGCACTGTGCTTTTTATGTCACTAGGCAACCACTGAATCAGCTGCATATTTTATGCGAGTGCTGCTGTTGATATTTTTCCAATTATAATATTTAATAATATTGTGATATTCTTCATTTGTGAAGTCATACAGCTCCTGATAACTCGAAACAGCGACTGCTAGTCTCTCCTCTATCTTCAAAAGTCTCCTTAGTCGCCTTGACAACACAAAAACACAAACACTGCTGTCACCTCAGCGGAAACCCCACCTCTGCTTTCATTTGATTGGACAATGAAAAAGACATACAATGCAAATATGCGAGGCAGTTAAAATTTAAGGCGCAGAGCACATAAGCTGCATGCGAAACGCTCAGGACAATTAAAACTATTAAAAAAAAGCGTCTCAACGCAAAAATCGCGTTTGGTGTGATTAAGGCCTAAAGCTGGATTTATACTTTCACCTGGCAGAGCGTCGCGGACGTCCCCCGACTGCGCACGCACTTACAAAACAGCCGAGGCTTTTATACTTGCTGCGTTCGCCATTGTGATATTCTTTAATAATCACAAAAAGAAACTGACCGTAGAGTCAGACGGATAAAAGGAGAGGTAGAAAGTTTCTGGAATTACATCATATCAGTAATATCATTCAAGATTTTTTAACTAATTATTTTTATAAATTATTTTAATGATTAAAGATTTTTATAAACATTCAAGATTTTTTTTTTAATCAAACTTTGATGCATCACTTGCTTTTGTTCAAATCTCGGACAGTTTTACTTAAAGTTAAATATTAATGACAACAAACATGAGTTGCTCTACAAATATGTTTTCATTATTATGGCAAGAATTAAAGCAAAAAATAACACTTATTTTTTATTTAGCCTGCTCCACAATTTCCACATTACTGTCTGGCTAATTTCTGTCCACTTCTTATGCTAAAAAGGCAATAATGGCCCAACATTCCTGACCATTATCACCGATAAAGCCTAGAGAAACGGGATCAGTATATTGTAAACCGATAGTTTCAAATATTCCTTTCATTCAAATAAATAATTTGTTCCTAAATTATACTTTTGTAATGATTGAAATGTTTTAAATTCAAAACTGTAATATATACATCAGTGTAAAACACATAAATGGTGGAAAAACATTCTGTATTTGTGTATCCGTGTCTCCACTTTTACCATGGCCCTGTTTGGTTTTAACGAACTCATCCCTCAGGTTTTTCCAAAATTTTTAACAAAAACTTCCCTCCATTCTCTCTGCTGTTGCAATTTCTAGCCAAGAATGATAGATCATCAGGTTATCGCTATGATCACGGATCATAAAGGTGTATGTACAGTTGTTCTGTTTCAGACAAAATCTCTTCAAAGTGTTTCGTACTCAACTCAAATCAAATGTGGCGCCGCGCAAACTGTTCGCTCGAGTCTCAAAATAAATCATGCGCTCCGCTAGCCGAAATCATGTCGCCGCACACAAAGTGAACCTCCGCAAACGATGCGATGACATCACATTCGCCGTGCGCACTCAAGCGAACGCGTCGAGTATAAACCAGCCTCAAGACAAACATTGTACACTGTATTTTAATGAAAATATGAACATACAAAGTGGTAAAAAAAATGTAATTTTAGAAAAAGTCATCAAAATTTTACATAAAAAAACTATTTATTTGCTTTTAAAATGGTCTTAGGTTATATTTGGCCTGTAAGTCAACAGGAAGGCTAATAAATGCTTATGCCTGATTCACACGGGGCTTCAGCGTCAACGCTTGACTGAAGGCATGTCTGAAGTTAGAGCTAACGCGATCATCATAGCAGCGTCAGCCAATGAAATTCAGTCAGCAATAGGTCACTGTCTAGTTGGTGTATTTGCATACAGCAATCTGATTGGCTGACGCTTCCGTCGACGCTTAAAGTGAATGTGAAGCGTTGACACTGACGCCCTGTATGAATTGGGCGTTATGGTCTTATTAGAACAGTTATTTTAAGCATAAATGTGTTGTAATTAAGATTGTGTTGATCAGGTGGTCTACAGGGGGAACATGACCAAACTGGTGCGCATCAGGAACCCGTGGGGGGAAGTGGAGTGGACTGGAGCCTGGAGCGACAAGTGAGTGTGGATTTACACCAGCAAAGCTTCTCTGCTTCGCTCTTCACACTGTGACTTACTGTCCTGATGATCTGTCTGATGTGTGTTTTCAGCTCTCGCGAATGGGACAATGTGGACCGCTCCGTCCGGGGCCGATTACAGAACCGCAGCGAGGACGGAGAGTTCTGGTGAGCTCAGATGCTCAATTTCAATTCTATTCATCTATATTTCTCTAGCGCATCTACAATGTAGATTGTGTCAGAGCAGCTGGACATAGAAGATTATAGTGAATAGAAACAGTGTCAGTCCAGTTTTCAGAGTTGAGGTTCAGTTTCAGTTCAGTGTTGTTTCATTTTCACTGCTGCGAGTCCAAACACTGAAGAGCAAATCCATCTGTGTTTAAGTCTGTGTGAAAGAAAAACTTTCAATGTTCATTTTACTCGTGCAAATTGTAGTTTTTTTTTTAGGTGAATTAATCTGTGCAGGTTTTGGCAATCTTTAATCAAAGTTGACCATTTACTTACATGTTTGGGGTAGCTTCACACAGTTAGATGCTTCAGCCACATTATTACCATTAGTTGGCCATGGGAAATAATGCTCCATATAAAAAAGCTCCGTCCTTATTTAGTGTTCAGTTTCAGATAGAAGTAGCCAGACGTAAAGAGGAGAATTATCAGTGTACAAAACTCCACAAAACAGCCCTATTGGAAACCACATGGCAATCCCATATCAACCAGACAGCAGCTACCAGTCATTACAGTAAAGTGCTGGCTGCAGTTCACCCAACAGCCACTGGTGTCGCTATAAACAAGAGTTTCTATATTCTACATGCTGGCCCTTTAGGGTGCTTTCTAACTTGGTTCATTTGCTTGGACCGTACCCAAGTTTGATTGTCTCCCCCTGCCACCTCCTCGGTTGGTTTGTGTTCACACTGTCTTTTTTCCTTCTGAACCCCAGTACGCTTGCGTCATCGAGCTGCTGTTTTGTTTACGGCCGTTGCTAGGTGACGGTCACGAAAGCAAGCGCCAAAATGGAAAGACTTCCGCACATTGGGGTCATTCAGCTTTTACTGAAGCTTTTGGTTTCGGACATACAGAAATTGACTTGCGTCCATCTGCCGCAAACATATTATAAACATTCAGAACATCACACAGTGTCTGCAGAAGCTGTTTTTGGAGGAGACAAGCATCACTGTATTTGCCCTGGCTCAGTCCCCTGTGTGTCACCAAGGTACGAAACGTGACACACACACACAAAAACATGAATGAACGTTATGAAAATTATAGTTTGTTGTACAGTTGGCGGCTCACTTCCTTGATTTGGTACGATTGCATTCACATCAGAAGTGAACCGTACCAGAGTTCGCATGAATCGTACCCCTGACCACCTCTTTCAGGCGGACTCGGGTACGGTTCACGGGTGCGCACCCGAGTTCAGAAGACACGTTCACACTAGCTAAACGTATCGTACTATGACGTCAAACGAACCCGGGTGCGGACCAAAAGTGCTAGTGTGAAAGCACCCTTTAAAGACTGCCTGAACCGCAAGTTGAGACTTTTATTTCAGGATGTACTTCCAATAGAAATAGAATATTAAGTAGGAGGCGGGGCTTTCTTTAGCTCATCATTCTCACATAGCACACTTAAGGCAGAGCCATAGAGAGAAAGCAATGGAGCGCAGTGGTGGCTCGTGGAGCCCAGAAGTTAGCACTTACAGCCGATTTCCTGCTGAAGACAGTTTTTTTGCACTTTTGAAAGCTACAAAGCTTCTAAAAATAAGTTTGTGCAAGTTTAAACATAATCTAACATATTTTCAATTAATTGCGAAGCAAGTTATTTGAGATTGAGTCTACATGAAATCACATGACGATCGAACATTTTGGACTTCTGATGTCGTAAGCCTCTATAACTCTTAATAGTAAGAATGTATTAACATACAGTTGCTATGGAAACCCTAAACAGGTTAATGTCAACAAAAGGACCCGCACTCCAAACACAGAATCAAATGGTCAGACTTTGATTGAAGATTATCAAAACAAACTCATTTTTTTTAGCTGACTAATTTGCACAGATTATTTGTTCACCTTAAGAATAACAATGTGAGCGAGCGAAATGAACGCTGTAAATTTTGATTTCAAACATACTGCAGTGTCTAACCGCACTTCATCACCTGTTGTGTGTGTCTCTCCATCAGGATGTCGTTCAGTGATTTTCTGCGCGAGTTCACCCGTTTGGAAATCTGTAACCTGACGGCGGACGCTCTCCAGGCCAGTCAGGTGAAGAAGTGGAGCACCGCCAACTATAACGGCGAGTGGAGGAGAGGAAGCACTGCAGGTGGCTGCAGGAACTATCCAGGTATCAGATTTAATTAATAATAATAATAATAATAATTCCTTACATTTATATAGTGCTTTTCTGGGCACTGAAAGCACTTTACACAATGGGGGGGGGATCTCCTCATCCACCACCAGTGTGCAGCATCCACCTGGATGACGCGATAGCAGCCATTTTGCGCCAGACCGCACACCACACACCAGCTGATTGGTGGAGAGGAGACAGTGTGATGAAGCCAGTTATGATATGGGGAGGGTTAGGAGGCCATGATGGACAGAGGCCAGTGGGCAGATTTGGCCAGGATGCCGGGGTTAAACCCCTACTCTTTTTCGAAGGACATCCTGGGATTTTTAACGACCAAAGAGAGTCGGGACCTCGGTTTAACAACTCATCCGAAAGATTGTGTTGTTGCCGAAGTTTTCCCTACGCTATGGACGCTTTTCACATTCACGAGTTTCACAGTAGCAGAAGTCATCATAGTTGGTTCAAAATCTTTTCTTCCCACAGCAACATTCTGGATCAACCCGCAGTTCAAGGTGGCCCTGAAACACCCGGATTCTCCCGGCCAATCAGAGTGCAGCTTCCTGGTGGCGCTGATGCAGAAGGACCGCAGGAAGAAGAGAAGAGAAGGGCAGGACATGGAGACTATCGGATTCGCCATTTATGAGGTCAGAGAGCAGACCGCTTCTCATTTACTCATCTAAAAATGTGTTACTTTTAGTTCAGTTGCTCATTCTCTGATTTTCCAATTTTTTTTAGGTGCCAAGAGAGGTGAGGAGAGCTGACCATGGCTTTTTAAAATCACGTCAACAGATAAACATTTCTACAGCTCTTCATACAACACAGATTGTGTTAACAAGGCTGTATAAAATGTGAAATGATTCAGATTTTGGAAAATAAGCAAGCAAGTGAGTGAGGAATATTTGTCATCATAGAAAGCACCTAGCAACCACACAGAAAACCCTAAAAATATTTATAAAATGTAGTATTAATAATTGAGAACAGCTGAATAACCACAGCTTATAAATAGCAATAGCCTACAAATGCCCTGTGAACAGTTCAGAACACCTTAGTAATGATGTATCATGTATATCCACATAGCTATCACACAAAACGTTAGCAACTAAATATACAAGTCTCCTAAACTACTAAAAATAGCTTACTATCCATAAAGCAACATACTAATATTGAACACCCAAGTGACACCCTAGATACCACTTAGCAACTAGACAGAACACCATAGTACCAGTATATAAATATAAACACTACAACATTAACACACCACCCAAATAATGCCATAGAAACCACCTAGCAACCACACAGAACACCCTAGCAATAATGTATGAATGTTTTTAAACTGTTTGAAACACTGCAACATTGTAGCACACCTAAATAACGCCATAGAAACCACACAGAACACCCTAGCAACAATGTATAAATGTGTTTAAACTGTTCAAAACACTGCAACATTGTAGCACACCTAAATAACACCATAGAAACCACACAGAACACCCTAGCAACAATGTATAAATGTGTTTAAACTGTTCAAAACGCTGCAACATTGTAGCACACCTAAATAACACCATAGAAACCACACAGAACACCCTAGCTACAATGTATAAATGTGTTTAAACTATTCAAAACGCTGCAACATTGTAGCACACCTAAATAACACCATAGAAACCACACAGAACACCCTAGCAACAATGTATAAATGTGTTTAAACTGTTCAAAACGCTGCAACATTGTAGCACACCTAAATAACACCATAGAAACCACACAGAACACCCTAGCAACAATGTATAAATGTGTTTAAACTGTTCAAAACGCTGCAACATTGTAGCACACCTAAATAACACCATAGAAACCACACAGAACACCTTAGCAACAATGTATAAATGTGTTTAAACTGTTCAAAACGCTGCAACATTGTAGCACACCTAAATAACGCCATAGAAACCACACAGAACACCTTAGCAACAATGTATAAATGTGGTTAAACTGTTCAAAACACTGCAACATTGTAGCACAACATGCAATTAATGCCCTAAAAAACACACAGAACACCCTAGCAACAATATCTGTTAAGCAATTTAAAACACCTTACTACCCATAAAGCAACATCCAAACACAGAACTCTCAAGTAACGCCCTAGAAACCACCCAGCAACACAATAAGAACAAACAAATTAAATATAACATCTTAGCAATACCCTAGAAACCGCAAAACTAAAACAACATGTTCAAAACACTTTAGCAACCAGCTAAACTAAGCAACGTCTTAAAAGGAACACTTCACTTTTTTTAGAAAATAGTCTCATTTTATAACTCCCCAGAGTCAAACAGTTTTTGACTCTATTCGGGTGATCTCTGTAGCACTTTTAGCTTAGCTTAGCTTAGCATAGGTCATTGAATTAGATTAGACCATTAGCATCTCACTCTAAAATGACCAAAGAGTTTGGATAATTAGAGAAAAAATCATACACTTAGAGCAACAGAAAATGAAATGTACATATTTATGTAATGCAATGTGTGTACTTCTGTAGCACATTTATGGTGTATGGCCATCAGGGCTGGAGCAAGCTGAACTGCCGCTCTAGGCAAAGGACGATCACGCTGTCCTAAACCTGAAAGTGAAAACGAAAGTGACTGGTTAGGGAGGTGTCGCGGATGCCGCCCTAGGTGCGGATATAGGGTGCGGATGGTGTTGCGGACGCCGTCCTATATCTATTCTGCCGCCCTAGGCGCGGATATAACTGAGGACGTGGGTGGTGGGGGAGGTGTCGCGAACATAACTGAGAACGCGGGTGGTGGGGGAGGTGTCGCGAACATAACCGAGAACGCGGGTGGTGGGGGAGGTGTCGCGAACATAACTGAGAACGCGGGTGGTGGGGGAGGTGTCGCGAAAATAACTGAGAACGCAGGTGGTGGGGGAGATGTCGCGAACATAACTGAGAACGCGGGTGGTGGGGGAGGTGTCGCGAACATAACTGAGAACGCGGGTGGTGGGGGAGGTGTCGCGAACATAACTGAGAATGCAGGTGGTGGGGGAGATGTCGCGAACATAACTGAGAACGCGGGTGGTGGGGGAGGTGTCGCGAACATAACTGAGAACGCGGGTGGTGGGGGAGGTGTTGCGAACATATCTGAAAACGCGGGTGGTGGGGGAGATGTCGCGAACATAACTGAGAACGCGGGTGGTGGGGGAGGTGTCGCGAACATAACTGAGAATGCAGGTGGTGGGGGAGATGTCGCGAACATAACTGAGAACGCGGGTGGTGGGGGAGATGTCGCGAACATAACTGAGAACGCGGGTGGTGGGGGAGGTGTCGCGAACATAACTGAGAACGCGGGTGGTGGGGGAGGTGTTGCGAACATATCTGAAAACGCGGGTGGTGGGGGAGATGTCGCGAACATAACTGAGAACGCGGGTGGTGGGGGAGGTGTCGCGAACATAACTGAAAACGCGGGTGGTGGGGGAGGTGTTGCGAACATATCTGAAAACGCGGGTGGTGGGGGAGATGTCGCGAACATAACTGAGAACGCGGGTGGTGGGGGAGGTGTCGCGAACATAACTGAGAACGCGGGTGGTGGGGGAGGTGTTGCGAACATATCTGAAAACGCGGGTGGTGGGGGAGATGTCGCGAACATAACTGAGAACGCGGGTGGTGGGGGAGGTGTCGCGAACATAACTGAGAATGCAGGTGGTGGGGGAGATGTCGCGAACATAACTGAGAACGCGGGTGGTGGGGGAGGTGTCGCGAACATAACTGAGAACGCGGGTGGTGGGGGAGGTGTTGCGAACATATCTGAAAACGCGGGTGGTGGGGGAGATGTCGCGAACATAACTGAGAACGCGGGTGGTGGGGGAGGTGTCGCGAACATAACTGAAAACGCGGGTGGTGGGGGAGGTGTCGCGAACATAACTGAAAACGCGGGTGGTGGGGGAGGTGTCGCGAACATAACTGAGAACGCGGGTGGTGGGGGAGCTGTCGCGAACATAACCGAGAACGCGGGTGGTGGGGGAGGTGTCGCGAACATAACTGAGAATGCGGGTGGTGGGGGAGGTGTCGCGAACATAACTGAGAACGCGGGTGGTGGGGGAGGTGTCGCGAACATAACTGAGAACGCGGGTGGTGGGGGAGGTGTCGCAAACATAACTGAGAGCGCGGGTGGTGGGGGAGGTGTCGCGAACATAACTGAGAACGCGGGTGGTGGGGGAGGTGTCGCGAACATAACTGAGAACGCGGGTGGTGGGGGAGGTGTCGCGAACATAACTGAGAACGCGGGTGGTGGGGGAGGTGTCGAACATAACTGAAAACGCGGGTGGTGGGGGAGGTGTCGCGAACATAACTGAGAACGCGGGTGGTGGGGGAGGTGTCGCGAACATAACTGAGAACGCGGGTGGTGGGGGAGGTGTCGCGAACATAACTGAGAACGCGGGTGGTGGGGGAGATGTCGCGAACATAACTGAGGATGGGGGTGGTGGGGGAGATGTCGCGAACATAACTGAAAACGCGGGTGGTGGGGGAGATGTCGCGAACATAACTGAGAACGCGGGTGGTGGGGGAGGTGTCGCGAACATAACTGAGAACGCGGGTGGTGGGGGAGGTGTCGCGAACATAACTGAGAACGCGGGTGGTGGGGGAGGTGTCGCGAACATAACTGAGAACGCGGGTGGTGGGGGAGGTGTCGAACATAACTGAAAACGCGGGTGGTGGGGGAGGTGTCGCGAACATAACTGAGAACGCGGGTGGTGGGGGAGGTGTCGCGAACATAACTGAGAACGCGGGTGGTGGGGGAGGTGTCGCGAACATAACTGAGAACGCGGGTGGTGGGGGAGATGTCGCGAACATAACTGAGGATGGGGGTGGTGGGGGAGATGTCGCGAACATAACTGAAAACGCGGGTGGTGGGGGAGATGTCGCGAACATAACTGAGAACGCGGGTGGTGGGGGAGGTGTCGCGAACATAACTGAGGATGGGGGTGGTGGGGGAGGTGTCGCGAACATAACTGAGGACGCGGGTGGTGGGGGAGGTGTCGCGGACGCCACCCTCTCTATTCTGCCACCCTAGGTCACCTCTATGGACGTGCCGGCCCTGATGGCCACATACCCAAAGCGCTTCACAATCATGAGGGGGGTCTCTCCACTCCACCACCAGTGTGCAGCATCCACATGGATGATGCGACAGCAGCCACAGGACAACGGCGCCAGCTATAGGTGGAGTGGAAAGACAGTGATGCAGTTAATTTGGTGGATGAGGATGACTGGTAGGCCATGATGGATAAGGGCCGATGGAGGGAATTTGGGCAGGAAACCAGCGTTACACCCCTACTCTTTACGAGAAGTGCCATGGGATTTTTAAAATCAGGACCTCGGTTTAACGTCTCATCTGAAAGATGGCGCTCACTGATAGTATAGCGTCCCCTTCACTACATTGGGGTATTAGGACTTACACAGATTGCAGGTTGAGCACCCCCTGCTGGCCTCTCTAACACCACTTACAACAGCAACCTAGCTTTCATATATGGTCTCCCATACTACCATATTGACCAGGCTCAGCCCTGCTTAGCTTCAGTGAGTAGCCAGTCTTGGGCTGCAGGGTTATATGACTGGGCTAATTTTCTCACTATTTTTTTTAGGTCCAATGTAATATCATTGTGCCAGCTGCAGTTATTGTACAGCAACAAAATATCTTGATTATTACGCCAGAGTATAGTATGTCAGCCTGAAAAACAGCGACTTTTCAGTTTTCTATTGGTCTTAGTACGCGTTGTAACTATAGAAGAATCAACATTTAAATAGTAAAACGATCAATTATCAAAACTCCTTACATTCTTGAATGAGATGCTAATGGTCTAATCTGATTCCATGATCTGTGCTAAGCTAGGCTAATAGTGACCAAATGGGTTTAAAAATGGTAAAACTTACCATAACATAACCCTCCCCCCAAGAAAAAAAAAAGTGAAGTGTTTCATTAGAAGGACACACTCTTCACCCTATACTCTACGTTTTTCTCTTTCTTTCAGTTTCTAGGTCAGTCTGGTGTTCATCTGAAGCGGGATTTCTTCCTCACACACGCGTCCAGCGCTCGATCGGAGCTCTTCATTAACCTGCGGGAGGTGAGCTCCCGTTTCCGGCTGCCCGCGGGCGAGTACATCATCGTCCCGTCCACCTTCGAGCCAAACAAAGAGGCCGATTTCGTGCTCAGAGTTTTCTCAGAGAAGCCCGCCAACTCAGAGTAAGTCTGGGGTCACGAGGCTTAGGTCAGAGTAATTCGCCCTTTCTTATCTTTCAGATATTTCCCAAATGATGTTTAACAGTTTTAGGAAATTTTCACTGTATTTCCTATAATATTTTTCCTCTGAAGAAAGTTTTTTTTTTTTTTGGCTAGAATTAAAGCAGTTTTTAATTTTTTAAAAACCATTTAAGGTCAACATTATTAGCCTCCTTAAGAAATGTTTGTTTCAATTGTCTACACAACAAACCACTGTTACACAATGACTTGCCTAATTTCACAAACATTACCCTAATTAACCTAGTTAAGCCTTTATATGTCACTTTAAGCTGAATACTAGTATCTTGAAGAATATCTAATCAAATATTATGTGCGGTTATCATACAAAGATAAAATAAATCAGTTATTAGAGATGAGTTGTTAAAACTATCGTGTTTAGAAATGTGTCTCTCCGTTAAACAACAATTGGGGAAAGTAATATACAGGGGTTAATAATTCTGACTTCAACTGTATATTGTTGGATCTTTTGCTTTCATTCTGTATTGTTCTCTCAAAAGAAGATTTACTTCTGATTAGGGCTGGGTAAATAAACAAAAGGCTATTTTCTTGTGCATTATAGAGTATATAGCCATAATTAGAATTAATGCTGCTGCCAATTCTGATTGGTTAATTGAATTGTACTTCTATAGTGCTTGTGTCAATGCTGAAAAAGTAAACATTGATAAAGTGTGTGTGTATATATATATATATATATATGAGCAATATCACACGAGCAGCAGTGCAAAATGGCTGTATATCAGCACTGGTAGGAGGCGTGCATTGCCTTAGCGTCGCACCAGTGCTGAGATACAGCCATATCGCACTGTTACGAGTGTGATATTGTGTTTATATAAATATATCGTGTAAATAAAAAAGAAAATCAAACACGCAGAGTCTAAAACCCTTTTGTATTAGGAACTAATTTTTTCGGCCATGCATTTACATCCGCAGCTGACGTCAGAACAGTAGAAGCCGTTACTAATTCACCAACGTCACTTTAGTGTTTGAATGACTCTCTTTAGCGTACCCTGCTGAAAAATCCAGCTTAAACCAGCCTAGGCTGGTTTATGCTGGATTTTTCAGCAGGGTAATGTCCAAGGTGATGACAAAACAGCTGATATTGCTCACATTTTTGGATTATAAGGCTGAACGTGACATGAAATGCCATCCATTTACAGAGATATCTTCCTACAGTCTACAGTATTTCTCTGTTGCCGTCGGTATTGTGATGGGTGCCAGGTGTCCCAGTGTTTCCCCGGAGGCTTTAAGGAATAAAAATAGGAGACAGAAACTATTTTGCTCTTCCTATTAGCCTTTATACGTTTCTCCCAAGTGTTGTCGACTACATACATGCCAGTCAACGACAATGAGTAGGCAAAAGGAAAACAAAAAGACACTCGAATATGCGTCGCAAAATAAAATGTTACATCATTGAAATGAAAGTATGATAACTTACAGCGGTAGAGCGACCATCACACACTTCTCAGAGCTCGCCAGAACTGAACTGAGCTCCCATACATGCGCGCTTACATCTAAAAGGTAAAACAACCACAGAAGAAGTCCTCTTAAAGGGGACATTTATACACAGTGCACATCAAACAATAAGCGACCGTTACAATATCACAATAATTAACCTTGAAAAAAACAGCGCAATTACTACCAGATTGCTGTTGTGTTTGCGATAAGGAGGGACGAGGCTGAGTCCAGCTTCTTATTCGCAGCTTCTTATTAACTCTATCCAGTCCACCTTAAAAACCGCGACGCTTCCGTTTATCAAACTCAAAAAAACACAGCGGTTTTAATCTTCTATGCTTAGCATGCGGTCCTAGCGCCATCTTGTGGATAGACAACGTCAACAGTCTTTGATTAATGGACACGCTGTCGACGCGCTGTCTCTCAGAAATGATAAATATTTTAAAATAGGCACTATCCTTATAAATAAACTGCATAGTTGCAATCTAAACAACTACATTCGACTAAAATAGCCTCAAAAGTACATTGTTGCTCAACAGCAGGAGTATTTGTCAAAGTGTAGAATATCTCACGGCTATTAGCCAATCAGATTCAAGAACCAGACAGAACTATTGTATATGTATATACACACACACACACACACACACACACACACAGTTGAAGTCAGAATTATTAATTCCCCATGAATTATTCGCCACCGTTTATTTTATTCCCCTAATTTATGTTAAACAGAGAGCAGATTTTCAACACATTTCTAAACATAATAGTTTTAGTAATTCATCTCTAATAACTGATTTATTTTATCTTTGCCATGATGACAGTAAATAATATTTGACTATTTATTTTCAGGACACTTCTATACAGCTTAAAGTGACATTTAAAGGCTTAACTAGGTTAATTAGGCAGGTTAGGGTAATTAGGCAAGTCATATAACGATGGCCTGTTCTGTAGACTAGTAAAAATTTAAAAACTGCTTTTACTCTAGCCGAAATAAAAGAAATAAGACTTTCTCCAGAAGAAAAAAATATTATAGAAAATAATATGTGAAAATTACCTTACTCTCCTACACATCATTTGGGAAATATAAATAAAAGAATCAAAGCGGGGCTAATAATTCTGACTTCAACTGTATGTATATGAATGTAACTGTCTTTATGCCTTTCAGAGAAATGGATGACAAAGTCATGGCTGAAATTCCTGAGGAGGTGAGAAGATATTTCTATATTTGAAGAGACAGTAAATAGTAAAGTATTTAACAGTAAATAATATTTGACTAGATTTTTTTCAAGACACTTTTAAACAGCTTAAAGTGACATTTACAGGCTTAACTAAGTTAACTAGGCAGGTTAGGGTAATTAGACAAGTTATTGTATAACAGTGTTTTTTTTCTGTAGAGAGTTGAAAACACATATTGCTGAAGCTGTGAATAATTTTGACCTTAAATTGGCTGGTAAAAATGAAAAACTGCTTTTATTCTGGCTGAAATAAAACAAACCAGACTTTCTCCAGAAGAAAAAATATTATCGGAAATACTGTGAAAATTTCCTGAATCTGTTAAACAACATTTGGGAAATATATATTCAAAATGTTGTCTTTAACTGTACACACTATATTTCTATATTTTTAATTTATTTGCTAATATATAATATATATATAATATATATAATAAGGACAGCAATTTCACTATATTGTGACAGTCTCAGTTAAAGTTTGCTGTTAGACATAATACACTACTGTATTTACAATACAGATGAATTGTGGACTTTTGCTGCTGTATGACTATAAATATAAATAATATATAAAAATATTCAAAAATAAACATGAATATATTAAAGAATTGAATGAGTCACACTTTACAATAAGATTCCATTGGTTGATGCAAGCTAATGTATTTACTAGCATCAACTAATTACGACCACAAAGCATTTATTAATCATAGTTTAACATTTACCAATGCATTAATAAAATCACAGTTAACATTAGTTAATGCACTTTAAGTTAACAAGAACTAACAAGGAATTGCTGTACTTTGGTGAATAAACACTAATGAATGTATTAATCATCGTTTATTCAAGTTAGTGAATGAATGAACTCATAATGCAATAATTAACGTTTAGTAGAGATCCATAATAAATGTGATACTGTCCCTCTTTCTGTCTAGCAACGTCTTGATGAGAGTCAGATTGACGCTGGTTTTAAGAGTCTGTTCAGACAGCTGGCTGGAGCGGTGAGAGAAACACCTCTTGAATACAGATACTGAATACTATGATGCTTTTATATGTAAAGCACTTGTGCGTAAATGTGTTTTCTAGGACATGGAGATCAGTGTGACGGAGCTACAGACGATCCTGAACAGAATCATCGCCAAACGTGAGATATAAACACGAGACCTTTTGATTTTAAAGGGTAACACTTTAGCTTGAGCCACAATTCATGCTATTATCTACTGATTTTATTACCTGCCCACTATTTAGATTTTGACTGTTTATTAGTAGTTTTAAAAGTATGATTTTATTCTACATCCCTAATACTCATTTAAACATGCATATGGACATTTTAACATACATATGGGACACACTAATTCTGTTTGAATACTTATTAGGATGGGTAGTGTGCAAATTAGGGTTCAGCAATAGACTTTAAAAACACATGCAGATGTTTTGTTTGTTGTTTCTAGAGTAACTGAGGCACAAGTTATAAAGGGTCCACCCCCTTCTGTAAAGGGGCGGGGAGCAGCAGCTCATTTGCATCTAAAGGGACACAGAAATAGAAAATAGTGTTGTTTCTATCGTTACGGAGGCACAAGCTATACTGCATCCACCAGCTAATTTGCATTTAAGGAGATGCACATGAAAACACATGAAAACAAAGCCATTTCTAGAGCAACCGAGGCACAAGCTGTAAATGCTCCACGAGCTCATTTGCATTTAAAGAAGCACAAATGAAAAAGGTGTCGTTCTAGAGCAGTGGTTCTCAAAATGGGGGTCGGGACCCCCCGAGGGGTCGCGGGGCAATGAAGGGGGGGGGGGGGGGGATTTCCAAAAATCTATTTATATTTATTAAACCATAAGAATTAACATATTTTATCCATAACTATACTGAAAATAAAAATAGTCGTTTATAGTTACTATATACTATATAGTTACTATAGTAGCTTATAGTTACTAGTTCTATTGGATTGCGACCCCTGGGGTAATTACATTATAATAAAGACAGCAATAGCGTCAGATGCATTTTGATTTTATAACACCAGGTTATACTTTCTGGCACATTTAAAGCACTGACACAGGTTAAAAAAATTTAATTGGTGTGTCTGCGTCATCGCATGCACGGTTTCTGTATTTATAACCACCTCAGAGGATATTGGGGGTTGCGAGTCACTGGCATTGTAATTTTGGGGGTCGCAGGCTGAAAAGTTTGGGAACCCCTGTTCTAGAGTAACCAAGGCACAAGCTGTAAGGACTCCTCCTCCTCATTTGCATTTAAAGAGACACACATGAAAACAGTTTTGTTTCTAGAATCACAGAGGCACAAGCTGTAAAGGCTCCTCCCGCTTATTTGCATTTAAAGAGACACACATGAAAACAGTTTTGTTTCTAGAGTCACTGATGCACAAACTAAAGTCTCCACCTCCTCATTTGCATTTAAAGAGACACACATGAAACCAATTTTGTTTCTAGAGTCACTGAGGTACAAGCTGTCAAGGCTCCTCCCGCTCATTTGCATTTAAAGAGAGCCACATGAAAACGGGATTGTTTGTAAGTGTAACCAAAGCATACATTGTAACAGCTCCACTAGCTCGTTTGCATTTAAAGAGACACGCATGAAAACTGTTTTGTTTGTAAAATCACAGAGGCACAAGCTGTAAAGGCTCCTCCCGCTCATTTGCATTTAAAGAGACGCGCATGAAAACTGTTTTGTTTGTAAAATCACAGAGGCACAAGCTGTAAAGGCTCCTCCCGCTCATTTGCATTTAAAGAGACGCGCATGAAAACTGTTTTGTTTCTAGAGTCACTGAGGTACAAGCTGTAAAGAATCCTCCCGCTCATTTGCATTTAAAGAGACGCACATGAATTCTGTTTTGTTTCTAGAGTAACTGATGCACAAACTGTAAAGTCTCCACCTCCTCATTTGCATTTAAAGAGACACACATGAAAACTGTTTTGTTTCTAGAGTCACCGAGGTGCAAGCTGTAAAGGCTCCTCCCACTCATTTGCATTTAAAGACACCCATGAAAACTGTTTTGTTTCTAGAGTCACTGAGGTACAAGCTGTAAAGAATCCTCCCGCTCATTTGCATTTAAAGAGACGCACATGAATTCTGTTTTGTTTCTAGAGTAACTGATGCACAAACTGTAAAGTCTCCACCTCCTCATTTGCATTAAAAGAGACACACATGAAAACAGTTTTGTTTCTAGAGTCACCGAGGCACAAGCTGTAAAGGCTCCTCCCGCTCATTTGCATTTAAAGAGAGCCACATGAAAACGGCATTGTTTGCAAGTGTAACCAAAGCATACGCTGTAAAAGCTCCACTAGCTTGTTTGCATTTAAAGAGACACACAAGGAAACAGCGTTGTTTCTAGGATAACCAAAAGCATACGCTGTAAAGGCTTTACCTGCTCGTTTGCATTAAAAGAGACACACATGAAAATTGTTTTGTTTCTAGAGTCACCGAGGCACAAGCTGTAAAGGCTCCTCCCACTCATTTGCATTTAAAGAGACACATGAAAACAGTATTTTTGTTTCCACTCAATAAAATGACCTTTACAGCATGGTAATTGATGATCCATGACCTGTTTCCTGCGGAAACTTCAGACACATTACAGGAACACCCGAGAATATTATCACACCTAGTAAAAAGAGCGTATTTCAAGCAAAGTAAGTGAATAATGAACCTGTTTTGTGTTTATATTCGCAGATAAAGATTTAAAGACAGACGGCTTTGGTAAGGAGTCGTGTCGGAGTATGATCAACCTCATGGACGTATCCTTTACTTTAATAACAAAACACTTAAAGTATTAAATGCAGATGCCAATACTATTATGATTGATGGTAGGATGGATGGATGGATGGATATTGAGTGTCTTCAGTCATTGTATACGTGTTGCCAATGTTGTTTTGTGATGTAAAGTGATGTAAAATGCACATCTAACATCAATCTCAGTCTCTTTAATGTATTTCTGCTGGATTTATTATTATAATCCTTGATGTATATATTTAGACGGATGGCAGTGGGAAACTCGGACTCGTAGAGTTTCATGTGTTGTGGGAGAAGATTAAACGCTACCTGGTGAGGAGATATTTACATGCATGTTTATACAGAGATAATGCGTAGCCTTTATGATGGGTTAGTAAACACATTGACATTTATTAAAAACATGACTTATTTTGATGTACGTTTTCTTGTGTTGTGACCAGCCGTCCTGAAATGTTGGTATTTGTGTGCATTTACATATTAAAAGTGCAGCAGATGAAAAACACTTATGTTTTAACTGTTATGAATGACAAATCTGTATTGCATTTAACCAATTTTTATTAAGCACAATTTTTTAATTAGTTTACATTTCATTTATTTTATTTGACATGAAATTAAATATGAGCCATATGAAAAAAAAATATATAATAATAGTATTTTAATATTGGTGATAATTTGAAAAATTTCAAGCATTTATAAGATCGTATCTGAGAAATACGAGTTTTAACCCCTTTAGAAAAACAGTTCAAATTGATGAAATGTGCATTTATTTTTAATAATCAACACCAAGAAAACATATTTTTTTATTATTTTTTGGTGACTTAAAAAATGATCGGGATGAATGTACAATGTGTTTCCATAAATACAATCCATTAGAAGCTGGAAACTTTTAAGGATAGCCCAAATGTACTACAGAAGTAGATCATAAACAATAATGACAAATTGAAAAATTAACCAAATAGTTCAATAACAATTAAATAAATAAAATTTGAAGAGAAATAAAAAAAAAATAATAAAAATAGATGGATGGGAAAAAATAATACTAAAAATTGTAAAATATTATAATAATACTAATAATTAAAATAATTACTATTATTAAATTATAAATTAGTATTATTAAATAATACCAATATTAATATTATTAGTGAACTGTTGTTCCAATGGTGCTAACATCACTAATTCTCAGATCTGATCTTTTAAATACCCTTTTCTTTAAATTATCACCAATATTAAAATGATAATAATAATAATAATAATAATAATAGTATTACAATATTATTTTTCTTTCCATATTTTTACATTCTTTTCATGTTTAATTTCATGTAAATTAGTATATGTAATGCTAGTAATCATTTGAATAGTTATTAGTATTATTATATAATTTTTGTATTTAAATAATGCTGATATTAGTAACTAAATATAGTAACAATGTTGAACAGCAGCATCCTATGGAAACACACACACACACACACACACACACACACACACACACACACACACACACACACACACACACACACTCTGGACATATTTACTTGTATATCCCCAACAGTACAATCCTAAAAATGAAGACTGAAATGTTTTAAACTCAGAGCTTTAGTTTACTTGTGTAACTTCCAGATTTCCCTTTTCTCTTTCCGCTCGTGTGTTTCCAGCAAATCTTCCGCGATCACGATGTGGATAAATCAGGCACTATGAGCTCGTATGAGATGAGGAAAGCTCTGGAAACTGCAGGTACAGCGACACACACTGACATCTGCTGCATCGTGTGTGTGTGTGTGTGTGTTAGAGATGCGCGGATGGGCTATTATTTCATCCGCAACCGCATCACAAAACTCATCATCCATCCGCCATCCATCCACACTAACATTTTTGACCAAATTTTAAAACCGCACCCGCCCGCCATCTGCTGACTGAGCTCTTTATTTGAATGGCTTATTTCTTTTATTATTAAATGAATGTTTCTTTATTGATTATTAGAAAAAAGAGAATGACTTTAATGACATGCAGTTAATCCAAACGTGCAAGTCAAATCCAGCATTAATTGACGCTTTGAAGTGACGCTAAACAATACGAGGACGTGTCTTTTCACTTGATTCGATTCCTCGGTCCTTGAGTTTTTTTTTGCGTCTTTCCCTCGCATCATATAGGGGTGGAAAGACGAGGAAAGAAAGCAAGGAAAGGAAACGAGGATACACAAATAAGAAATGAGAAGCACCCTATAAAGCTCTCAGAATATCAGCAGTGAACTCCGTCTCCAATTGGCGCACAGGGACAAAAATAAATAAATAGCCTAAATTAAACGCACTGTACTGTACAATTTTTTTATTATTATTATTGTAGCCTAGAAAACGCATTTTGACTCATCATTTCAACATTCAGACGAGAGCGCCTGGCCTCTAATGCGCCCTGCTGCACTGAAGGAGCGCTCGCTCGCAGCGCTTGTTGCTGGAATGCATAGAATTCTCTTGGCAAGGTGCTGTAGACGTGGGAATGACTGCCTTGTTTCTCCCAAAAGGAAAGTAGATTTTTCTCTGCTGATCCGTCTATATGGAAGTTTGTAGAGGAAGACTTCTGTACTTCATCCAGAATTAGTGTATCCGATTCCTCCTCCCATTCTGTGAAGTCAGTCCTAGGCTTTTTCGTTGGTGCGCCAGCTATGTGTACAAAAACAGTACAACCGCCCACCACCCGCCCGAATTTAATTAAAATATTATTTTTCGTCACGTCATCCGCCCGGTTTATCCGCGGATTCCGCGGCTGTAACCGCCATCCGCGCATCTCTAGTGTGTGTGTGTGAGTGTGGTCTCTTCATCCTGACTCTGTCTCTCTCTTTCTGCAGGATTTAAGCTGAACAATCATTTATTCCAGCTGATCATCCTGCGCTACACTGAGGAGGATCTTTCCGTGGATTTTGACAACTTTGTGTCCTGTTTAGTGCGACTGGAGACCATGTTCAGTCAGTTTTGAGTCTTAAATACTATCATTTTTCATTTATGCTGTGTAATGTTATTCACAGATTGCATGTTGTCAGTAATTATTTTTAGAAATGGCTGAAAATACAGCTTGATTAACAGGAATAAATTATATTTTCAGTTATATTTAAATAGAGAGCTGTTATTTGTAATTGTAATAATATGTTACCATTATATTATATTAATATATAATTATTATCCCTGCAATATATAATTATATTGTCCCTGCAAAAACCTGGAGGGACTTTATATTATTTGATCAAATAAATGCAGCTTTGAGCAGAACAAGGACGTTTGAGAATAAATGTTGTTTATTAATATTTATAAATATCTATTAATTATATTAATATTATAAATATTTATTATATTTATAAAATTCAGAGCTCAGTCAGAGTGTCCTGATATTTCTGTCGGTGTTTCACAGAGACGTTCAAGAGTCTGGACACAGACGCTGATGGAGTCATTTCACTCACATTCTTCCAGGTAAAATCACAACGTACTGCTGTTTTACTTCACTTCTCACTTGAACATCTCTGTAGCCGCACATACGTGCAGGAGTGTGACTGTTTTAGATGAATTAAACCATTTAAATCAGGAACAATTACTATATAATAGTGTTAAGTAACAATTAAAATGTGATTAATTAGCATACATGCTAATTATTAAAAATATATAGTTCTGGTATATGAATAAAAGTGCAATAACACTGTAAACAGAGTTAGATAATATAGTAGTTATAGCCTGTAGTTAAAGGTATCTTGGAAATCTTGGCCTAAACATTGATGTAATGTTAAATTCAAAACCATGAGGTATTTGCCACCTGCGGGGTATTTAGTGATAATTAAGTGGTAATTAATTAAGGATAATTAAGTTTTGCTTTCAGAACCAGAAGCTGTAATAGCCCCGCCTTTTTCTGGAAATTTGATGGGGAAAAGCAGCACATTTGCATAGTAAAGTGCACAAAGCAAATTTTGCTTTTGGTGTAACCGTAGAGCATAGAACCACCAAGAGGCGACACTCTAGTGCGATTTGGGAAACAGCCACTAGATGGCGATAATGTCACGCGGCTGTCATTTTGGACTAAATTCTACTAGAACAACAGCATATTATAAGTCTGTAAAATAAACTCTTTAAAGTGCTGATGATTGTGATAGTAAGTGTTGTATTGTCGTCATTCAGGTTGTATCTTAGCTTTAATACGCTTTTTAAATAAATAAAAATAAATAAATAAATCAAAGCAGCTGCTTGCCATCGCGACAGCAATAAGATCCATTGGACAGCCGATCGCTTTCACTCTACAATGGCAGAATCACGAGGCTACTGCTGGGCGCTGCTGTTGCAATGGAACGTTCTATTGAGTGTCGCCTCGGTCATTCTAAGCTCTTTGGTGTTACTGTGCCACAAGCCATAAAAGTCCCGTCCTCTTCTGAAACAGGGTGTGTGGAAAATCGACTAATTTGCATTTAAAGGTGCACTAAGCAAATTTTGCTTATGGAATAACCAGTGCACAAGTTGTAAAAGCCCCGCCCTTTTTCTAGAAAGGGGGTGGGGAAAATAAACTAATTTGCATTAATGTGTACTCAGCAAATTTTGCTCATGAAATAACCAAGGCACAATCTGTAGAAGCCCCGCCCTTTCTAGAAGAAGGGGGTAGGGAAAATAAACTTATCTTTATTTAAAGGTGACATTAAAAACAAATTATGCTTTTGGTGTAAACGAGGCACAAGCTGTAAAAGCCCCACCCTTTGCTAGAAAGGGGGAGGGAAAAATGAACTAATTTGCATTTAAAGGTGCACAAAAAAAATTGATTTTGGTGTAACCGAGGCACAAGCTGTAAAGGCCTGCCCTTTGTTAAAATAGATGTGGGAAAAACAACCTAATTTGCATTTAAAGGTGCACTAAACAAATTTAGCTTTTGGTGTAACCGAGGCACTAGCTGTAGAGGCCCACAATTTTCTAGAAAGGGGGTGGGGGAACTAAACAAATTTGCATTTAAAGATGCACTAAACACATTTGATCACAAAGTAACCAAAGCACAATCTGTAAAAGCCCCGCCCTTTGGTAGAAAGAGGGTGGGGAAAATAAACAAATTTGCATTTAAAGATGCACTAAATAATTTTAGCTTTTGGTGTAACCGTGGCACAAGTTGTAAAAGCCCCGCCCTTTTCTAGAAAGAGGGTGGGGAAAATAAACAAATTTCCATTTAAAGGTGCACTAAACTAATTTAGCTTTTGGTGTAAAAAGTGCTGCCCTTTTCTAGAAAGAAAGAAACTTGCATTTAAAGGTGCAGTAAGCAAATTTTGCTCATGGAGTAACCAATGCACAAGCTGTAAAAGTCAAATTAGTTTATTTTGCCTACCCCCTTTTCCTAGCAAAGTGTGACCTTTGCTCGAAAAAGGGGGTGGGCAAAATAAACTAATTTGCATTTAAAAGGTGTTTTGCTTTTAGTGTAACCAAGGGACAAGATGTAAAAGCCCCGCCCTTTTCTATATAGCTGGGCAGGATTATGGTGAACTAAACAAATTGTCAAGTGTTGTTAATATTTGAAAGCACAAACAAATGATTGAACACACTCATGACCCCAAATGACTCCGCCCTCTTTTTTAGTATCCTTGTATAGTTACAAGACACGCCCCTTACGACTGATTGGCTGCAAGTGTATTTCTGTACTTTACTGTTTTTCAAAGATTAGGGAACTTTTAATGACACAGTTACAGCATTTAATAACCAGAAAAATCTGTGAGCTATTTGTAACGGAAACTTGATGGATATTGGCAGGACACATAGGAATTATGTTGTATTTTGTAAATAAAGAGATTGTAATATTTAAAACTGGATTCTTCTAGTTGTTATATCATCGGTGTCAATGAGCCTCAAGTCATGCTAAAGAGTTTAAACCGTCAAACATATGATTATGAGGTTTTATGATGTTCAACCTAATATGATGTCTCTCTCTCTCTCTCTCTCTCTCTCTCTCTCTCTCTCTCTCTCTCTCTCTCTATCTCTCTCTCTGTGTGACAGTGGATCACCCTGACCATGTTTGCCTGAAATGGCGTTTGTCTGCTCTGACCTTCGTTGTGCCTTCATCATTACACTTCTCCGAGAGAAACTGCCTTATTAATAAAGCCCTGTTTACAGCGTCAGTAATCACAGCACGATTACACAAACATATGGTGCCAAATGTGAGGAAAGCCAAGAAGAAACACATCGAGCTGTTCATTTACAGTGAGTTTAAAGTCACTTCTCAATCAAGCTGCATGTATTTCCATTGGACCGCCTGATGAGACACGTTTACACTCACTCAGCCAATCAGTTTTTAATCAATATTTTATGATGCATATCTTGTTTTATTGAATGTCATATCTGAATGTGTCTGCTTTATTAATGCACAGATGATGATGATGATGATGATGATGATACTGTAGATTGAAGCCAGCTTTTAATGTTTAATCAGGAAAAACTGTTCAATGTGCTGAAAAACCAAAGGATGTTTTAAACAAGCCGACTGTTTTATTCACGTCATGCACATTCCTTCAGTACCGTTTTTATTCCAGAACGTTCATATTTGGGGACAGATCATGTTTGGTTTCTTTCATTATTTCACCGCCAGACTGAACCGCACTTATCTTAAAGGAAACGTATATGAATAGGTGGTGGAGAGGATTTTAACGTCTTTATTTGTGCCAAGCAGCAGATTTTACATGATGATGTTTTTGTTCAACTTTTATTATTTGGCTTTTCAATAAACTTTCTTTTAAAGAAACTAATGCAATCTGTGTTCAACTCTAGATTTAACTGTAGGTTCACACTGAAAGCGGAGAGAACATCAAAAGTCGCTCTGGCCACAGCGCTGTCCGTCTTCAGCTCCAGCTGTGAGAGCGTCAAAATTTGCTATGTAGATGTCGTATTTAAAGGAGCCGTTGCAGCATATCAGTTACATTCCTGCATAAAAACATACTTATAATGTGAAAATGTTGCACACTTCTTATCAAACTCCTTTAACAATGGAAGATCGAGTTGCATGTGGTGTGGGTTTGCTTGACTTAATTACCCAGTGTGTCCTTATGTCTGAAATATCCTGAAGCGGCGATTATGCTTTGTAATGGCGCATGACATTCCCGCTAAAAATATAACTTTTAGCATTAGCGCACATCAGTAACTCACCAGCAACTTTTTAAAATTATGTTCCTGTAAGAAAACATTGCAAATAATTGGAAATCCGGCGACCGCAATAATCAAACCCTTGGGAACAACTGAGGTCAGAACCAGAAAGTTCACAGGTCTGTGTTCTCTGGACTCCTCTCAAGCGGTGGACTTCATCATTCTGATTGCTTGCCGCCGAACCGCCTCATATCTCATTACCATAACGTTGACTTGATTTCAACTATCTTCAATGCCAGTGTTGCCAGATTGGGCGGTTTTAAATTTGTTTTTGCGGGTAAAAAAATGACAGGCGGGTAGTGTAAATTTGGGCAGTTTTGCAACGGCGTGCCCACAAGCCCCGGTCTTCACTCATAAACCTGTTATGATCTCCCAAAGAGATGCCATAGCCCCGTTCTTCACATACAAACGCTTACAACAGTTGTGATCTCCCAACGAGACACCCCCCACTTATATTATTTAGATTTTTAAGCAGGTTTTAGATCTGGAATCAGTCATCTACATTTGGCAACACTGCTGGACGCCCACACCGGCGAAGACATGCCGCACTTCTTCTCACCGCCTGCTCTCATTGAAAATGAATGACTTCCGGCTATTTTGACGCTCTCGTCGCTTTCTGTGTGAACGTACAGCAACAGTGCTTTGACTTCTGTTCATTCATTCATTCATTTTCTTTTTCGGCTTAGTCCCTTTTTATTAATGCAGGGTCGCCGCAGCGGAATGAACCGCCAACTTATCCAGCATGTTGTTTTATGCAGAGGATGCCCTTCCAGCCGCAACCCATCACTGGGAAAAATCCTTACACTTATACACTACGGACAATTTAGCCTCCCCAATTCACCTGTACCGCATGCCTTTGGACTGTGGGGGAAACCGGAGCACCCGGAGGAAACCCACGCAAACACAGAGAGAACATGCAAACTCCACACAGAAACGCCAACTGAGCCAGCCGAGGCTCGAGCCAGCGACCTTCTTGCTGTGAGGAAACAGCACTACCTACTGCGCCTCTGCGTTGCCGACTTCTGTTCATTCACCTCAAAATGATTTTGATTGCTTGTTTGAACTACTTATTTAGCTGAAACAAGACCATTCTCAAGGCTTTATTGGGGACAACTCAATTGTTTTATGTTCAATCTATTTTAATTGCTAAGTTAACTTTCACCGCAAGTTGATTAGTGCCTGAAAAACACAAGGTACATTCAAAGCTAATAGTAAAAGTGCATTAAAAATTGAATATTAATATTGAATATATTGAATTAATACTGAAGGTCACATTTATTAGCGATGTAGAAGAGTAAATGGGCACAGCTACAGTTTTAAAGCTGACGATAATCTTCTGGTGAAAGCTTAATGTTGGTATTTTCAATTTCACAAGGTTGTTTTTACAGCATCGATGTTGTAGTGCTGAGGTGTCCAAACTCTGTCTTGGAGGGCCGGTGTCCTGCATAGTTTAGCTCCAACTTCCTTCAACACACCTTCCTGGAAGTTTCTAGTACACAGAAAGAGCTTGATTAGCTGGTTCAGGTGTGTTTAATTGGGGTTGGAACTAAAATATCCAGGACACCAGCCCTCCAGGACCGAGTTTGGACACCCCTGTTGTAATGCAATTACAATACATTCAGTTAAATGGACTCCAGCATTCATTTAGTTGTTCAAGCACAAAACAAAATGAAAGACCGCTGCAACCACTAGCACCGTCATTAGCGACAGGCTAGCGCAGAAATTCCATTGCAAATACTGGGGTAAAATAAACGGTCATATTTTAAAGACATGGCGGGGGGAAATGGAGTTTAATGCTGTGCTTCTTGTACGATATCTGAGACCCACTTCATATCATATATCTATCAGTCTGTGAAGATCACAATGTTGTAATGAAAAGACCGGAAGCCCTGGCTGAAAATTAAAAGTCTGTGTGCATTAACAACTTCAACTGGAAGTTGATTGGTGCCTTAAAAACACGAGGCTACCAAGCTACAAAAGTGCAAAAAGGTATATATTTTTTTGTGGAATGAATATTAAAGGCTACATATTTATGAAGAAGATGAAGAGTAAATCAGCAATGGAAGCATCAGGCCTATTTCACAAAATAAAGATCGAGACCGGAAGTACGGAAAACTTTTCGCGCCTTTTATTAATTCATTGTCATAATGGAGTGTGAACTCGTTTTTCCCTCAGTCATTACTAAAATGACCTACTTTACAAATCGCAGATGTCCATTTTGTTGACCGTTTCCATCGAAACGTGAGACGATCATTGAACGGGTTATCAAATCTTTTTTGAGCAATTCATTTTTGATTATCAAGGTATGTATTAAAATAAGCTGGCATATGGCGAATTTAAAGCTGGTTGTTAATTTTTGTGTGTTTGGGCACTTCAGTCTCAACCAGAGCTTTATATGAAAGTGGTAATTAGAGGAAGGTGCAGGTCTCTAAAGCGTGAGGAACCACATCAGCACAAATTAAAGTAAATTCAAGCAAATGCATTAGCAAATTCAGCAAACACATGTTTATAATGCACCTGATGTGTAATTGAGTCCCAAAAGCGCAAAGGGGCTTTTATTTTGAAATCCACGGGTGTAGCAGAAGAGTTCCCCGTTTGTTTTGTAGTCAAGTCTAGAAGGGATACAGCTGCGGATACTCGCATTTTGTATTAAACTCATCAGCAATAATTAATATTTATACATTACCATGATGGTTTGGATTGGAGTTGGATACGTTAATAAAAAAAAACAATTAATGTGTAATTTAAAAAATTTGAATAATAGTCGCGTATAATTATTTAAATTGTTGTGATGTTGGGTTTAGGGTGGAGTAGATGTTTATAAAATACAATTAATGGGTAATTTAATAAATAATATAGTTAATACTAAGTATAATTACTGTTTTAACATCACTGTAAAGGTTGGATTTAGAAGTAGACGTTAATAAAATACAGTTAGTTTATAATTTAATAAACAATATGAATAATACTCGGTGTGATTACAGTTTTTACATAATGGCGAATGTTAGGTTTAGGCCAACTAGACGTTAATAAAATACTTTCAATGCGCAATTTAATAAATAACACTAATAATTTTCCTGAACTTCCGGCCGGGGCTGTATCCCTTCTAGCAACGTTCTCCGGTTTGTTTTGAGCGCATTTCTCTTCAGCTTCTCAGCAGTTTCGGATGTCGTGAGTAAATAAATAAAGATGAATTCCCTGGCGCAGGAGATCGCGGGTTTCTCTACGTCTCGGCTGAGGAAGCAGAGCACCAGAGTGACCACAGCGAGCGGTCAGGTCCTCCTGGAGACCCGCAGCGGCGCTGATTACCACAGCACGCCGGACACGGAGCGCCAGAGCGCGGATACCTGCGGCTTCGTGCAGGACTTCAGTCTGGATCTGCAAGTGGGAATCATCACACCCTTCCTGCTGCTCTGTGCGGGTTTACTATTAACACATATTTATTCTCTATTTATTGTGAAAGTCTGACAACTGAACTGATAAACTGCTGTATTTATTGTGAAAATATGACAAAACCTCCACTGTAACGTGATTATAATCGTGTATTATGATGTCATTCATTCAATTAATATGGGTGTATGGATGTTTCCCCAATATTGGGTTGTAGGTGGAAAGGCATCCGCTGCATAAAACATATGCTGGAATAGTTGGCAGTATATGACGCTGTTGCGACCCCTGTTAAATAAAGACTAAGCCAGAAGGAAAATGAATGATAAAACAGGTATTTAAAAGTTCATAAAACAAACAATTATTTACAGTTGAACCCAGACGTTTACACACACACTGTATAAAAAGACATAACCATTTAAAAAAAGTCAGATGTTAATGCGACTAAACTTTCCCACTTTTAGGTAAGTCAGGATTATCACTTTTGTTTCTGTTCTGCTTAATAGCAGAATACCCAGATAGCAAAATACACTCGGGCCAGTTCCGGCTAGATTGTCGCCTGCCGGAAACTTACCCCTCGGCCCAACTTCGGCTGATGGACTCGGGCCGGATGCCTGTGGACTCACTGCCCGATTCCGGCCCGAATCAAGCGGGCCAGATGCGGCGGCCGTAAGCGAGCCGACGCTGCGCATCCGCGCCGGAATCGGCGCGAGGGTAATGTGCGCTGCGGCCCGGAGCTGGCGCGACTCCGTATTTATACACCTTATAAAACCTTTTGGTATTACATTGGTACTTGACATATGGTATTACAACCATTTGAATTTATATAACAGCAAACACAGGCTATAATGTAAACACAAAGTGTAAGCACTGCGTTTAACCTTTGAATAAAGTGCAAACTGCATACATATTCTGTAACGAAAATAATCAGACAAATGACAAAATAAATAAATGTTAAACGTTTATTGATTGCAAGAAAAAATAGTACTAAAATTTTATAAATAATTTTGTAGTGCACAAGAATATCAATATAAAAACAACAATAAAACAACACAATAAAGACACACAGAAAGATTTAAACAAAAAATCTAAAAATTACACACAAACACAGATGTTTTTAAAACAACCCTGTTTTCCCAATAGACTTGAATTAAAAATTTGTAAAAAAACAGCTAAATTTTATATAAACCTAAATATAGAAACCAATTTAAGATATAGCAAGAAACATCTTAAAAATACCAATGACAATCCGTAAAATATCCAAGTCAAACTTGTAAAAAGTACTGCAGAATTCTGAAGAAACATCTTGAAATATTTTTTAATAAAACATTAAAATAATAATAATAAACAAACAAATATATATATATATATATATATATATATATATATATATATATATATATATAAATAATTGCAGAAGTATAAAGTCAAACTTATTTTTAAATAAACTTGAACAAAATCAATTGCACAACAGCAAGACATGAGTGAGATGATTATACATTTCATATATATACACGTCTTGTGCAATTTTATATTTATAATTTTATTTGTATTACGTTTATTAAAAATGTATCAAGATGTTTCTTCAGAATTTGGCGCACACACATACATACATACATACCATATATATATATACATATAAATATTATATATATATATATATATATATATATATATATATATATATATATATATATATATATAAATGCAAATGAAAGAAACAAATTGTTCAAGTATCAGGGAACATCCTAATACACTTAAAATGTTGTTTAAAAAATAAAACAAAATAGTGATGTAGACATTTGACACATTAGCTTTCTCTTCTTTCTTCCTCCATCCCTGTCAGGGGCAAGCTGTAGCTACCTTGTAATGCATTTTTCCACTTCTTTATCAGTGGCATGGTATGGACATTTGTCCTCACTCCATCTGTGATTAAAAGATAAACAGATAATTAGTAGTGAACAAGTACTAATGTAAAAAAAAAGAAAAAATTAGGAAAAAAGTAGGCTACCTACGAAGCAAAAAAAAACAATAAAAAAAACCAAATAAACTTAAAACACTTTGAAATTAGCAAGAGCTTGAACTTACCAGTTTCTTCATTTGTTCGGGCTGCTCCTTTAATTGATTTTCAAGCTTTTCCAAATCAAATTGGCCAAAGGAAGGTCAAATGTGTTTACATCTGGAATTTCATCACGTCTGTTTTGGTTTTGTGAGAATCAGGCCCAGCTGCTGCTTTATGACGTTGCATGATTTTAAAACTTCAGTCAGTCGTGCTAAAAAAGAAAAATAACAAATTAGTATAAATCAACCTGTAGCTTATTCTCATACAACCTCTGTAAATACAACAGTGGGTTAGACACTGCTGATATTCTCTAGTTGATCTTTACTTTCTAGCTGCATTAAACCTTAACAAATTTAGTGATGTCTTCAATTCTTACAAAGACATCAAGAGATGCAATAAGTTCTGTCTTGATCTCAAACTGCACTAGAACAAAGACTGTAAATGTTCATAGGTGTACTGCAGGAGTGTCCAAACTTTTTGGGCCGAGGGCCAGATGCAAAAAAACAAAAGTTGTTGCGGGCCAAATTTTAAATACATCACACAGACACGTGTATATATATATATATATATATATATATATATATATATATATATATATATATATATATATATATATATATATATAAAAATACAGTTGAAGTCAGAATTGTTAGCCCCCCTAAATTATTAGCCACCGTTTATTTTTTTCCCCAATTTCTGTTTAACGGAGAGTTAAACATTTTTTTCCACACATTTCTAAACATATTAGTTTTAGTAACTCATTTCTAATAACTGATTTATTTTATCTTTGCCGTGATGACAGTAAACAATATTTGACTAGATATTTTTAAGACACTTCTATACAGCTTAAAGTGACATTTAAAGGCTTAACTAGGTTAATCAAGTTAACTAGTCAAGGTAATTAGGCAAGTTATTTTATAACAATGGTTTGTTCTGAAGACTTAAGGGCTAATAATTTTGACCTTAAAATAGTTCATAAAAAAATTTAAACCGCTTTTTATTCTAGCCGAAATAAAACATAAGTCTTTTTTCAAAAGAAAAAATATTATCAGACATACTGTAAAAATGTTCTTGCTCTGTTAAACATCATTTGGGAAATATTTAAAAAAGAAGAAATAAATCAATGAGGGGCTAATAATTCAGACTTCAACTGTGTGTAGATAGACAGACAGACAGACAGACAGACAGACAGACAGATAGATAGATAGATAGATAGATCATAACAAGAACTGCTGCTTAATTGAATGCATGTAATAGCGACACCCGGTGGTTATTTATTGAATTACGTTTATTTTTGTATAGCGGGCCAGATTCTATTGATATTTATAAAAAGCCGGGCCGTAGTTTGGACACGCCTGGTGTACTGGAATGTACAGTATCTGTGCATCTTCATGGTGGTCTTAAGATTTCTGCCATAGTCATTGATGGTGATGGTACTTGTGGTGCTGCACTGATTTCTGAAATATTCATACCTGCCTTTTATCCAGCCTCTTTGTTCAAAGTAATTTTTCTTCATCACGGTATAGATGTGTCTATACTGTCCCTTAATCAGATACATTTACAAAACAAAACATCACTTTAGTATAGTGCCAGGGCAAAACTCACAGGTTGTAATAGATCAATGACAATGTTGACAGTATGTGTTTATAATAATTGCAAACAAACCTGTTCTGTCTTTAGATGTATGACAGGCGATAATCATCCTCATCTGTCTACCAGTCAGAAATCACAGTTGCGTGTGGATGTTTGAGTCGAGCTTCCTCATATGCATCTATAATAAAACATCACATTGTTGTTAACCTCCCGTAAAGAAAAGTTCAAATCCTGAAATACTATCAAAATTAATTAATGCATATAATACCTATAGTGTAAATAATCAGTACACAGAAGGTTGCACAAGATTTATTCGGAGAGTCATGCAGAGTGACAGCCTTATGAATCTGAGACATAGATTTGTAAGATGGTCAAGCACATGCATTATTCTGTACCCATGAAGATTAACCTACCATTGTGAAAAATGTTTGATGATGATAGCCAATAACAATAAACTATTTCAGCTGTTTGTGGAGCAATTAGTAATGTAATGTCTGAAAAGCTCAATCTATGTTGAAAATGTATCAGCAGTTTACAGCTTATAATGGACTTTTAGCACACAACTATAACATGCCTATTCACGTTCAAAAGAGTGTGCCATTGACTTCTTTGGTCGTGATGTGCTGCAAAATGATCTCTCTAACCTTTGTTAAACAAGAACAATAAGACTTAACCAACAAATATTGTTACCCATTCATTTAAATCAGAATTTATCACTGTCAATAACATAAAAAAACACATCAAAATCTGCTTTAAGACGTTCAGTTTTACATTAACTGAACATTACAGCTTGAACAAAAGATATAATTGATTCACATAGGCTAAAACATATGAATTAAAGTGCATAGTAATATATTTCTCTTGGATAATTTAAAGAGAATAGTAAACAGTCGAGTTTCGATCATTTTTCGTGACTAACTGCATAAACAAGATAAACAATATTTTATTAATCCAAAACGATTAGTTTTTATTTACACATGATCACAGAATTAATACTGTTGGATAAGTATACGCCTGTACAATGATTTTTTCAACATCCACGGTACTTTATAATGTTAAATCAGGAAAAAACACGTTTTGCCATGTTAATTAATGGATTCGTCTACAGAAACTTTCTTTAACGCAAAGTTAGCATACACACAAATTCGTTTCATGTTTCTTTAAAATAATTAAAATAGTTTTCGGTTACTACACACGTTACAATCTAACATTGTGTAAAAGGAAAAGGAACTTTCAGACGTGTTTGTAACTGTTAGCTTTAGCATACATTAGCTCCAGTCGTGTTTCTTAAAGCAAGTTACATTCGTATCAAACTGTTTTAAAGTACTAAACGCTGTTACAACCAAACACCGTGGAAATGTTTTAAGCTCTAAATTCGCTAATTATACAGTACACAAGCAGTAAAAAGCTTACCTTTCTGACCGGAATCCACGTGAAATCATTGAAAAACCAAACTTTTTCTTCTTGTGATCTTCGTGCCATGGTGGATGACAACCAGCTTTTTGGAGCATTACCGCCACCGTCTGGATTGGAGTTTGGATCAGGAGTTTAGTAACGCATGTGTTTATTATGAAACCAACTTCTGCTTAAAAAAAAAACAGTCAGCACAGGAGCGTGCTATCTCAAAAATAAGCGAATTTTACATAGTTTTTCTCTAGATGACATGTATAATCTATTTATAAATAATATTGTTTTGTTTGCGTCTAAACATTGCGACCATCCACACTAAATATTCTTTTTTTTTTTTTTTTTTTGCTATCGTACCATGAATATTTTCTCAAATTATCATTAAACGTGGAGCTAACAGATTACTTGATAAAATAAGAACTTAATCAGTTGCCATCAGCCGAGTCCTTGCCAGAAGCGGCCAGGACTCTACAGACAGACTCGGGCCGGATATGGTTGACCGGAATCGGGCCAGTGCTTTACAGCCGCATCACAACCGCATGTGCGCGAGCGAGCTGCGGGCCGCACTCGGCCCGGATAACACTCGCCGATGCCGAGTCGGAGCCGGAGGCGCCGGAGGGCAGCCGAGCTCGGGCCGATTACTGCCTGCTATCTGGGTAATGAGAGAGATTTGTTGAGAAATTGTTATGACTTTTCTTGAAAGTCAAGTTCACACACAATAAGGTTATTCTGCCTCTGAAAAAGCTCAGATGATGGTGTCAAGGTTTTGGAAGATTCTGATTGGCTAATTGACAACATTTGAGTTAATTGGAGGCACAACTGTAGAATAGTATTTAAGGAAAACCTTAAACACGCTGCTTCCTTGTGTGACAACATGGGAAAATCAACAAGCCAGAATCAACAACAAAGCCAGATTACAATTTGCTAAATTACCCTGTGGAAAAGAATAATATTGCAGACATGTCCTGTGCTCTGATGAAACTAAGATTGAACTGTTTGGCCATAATGACCAGTGATACATTTGGAGGACAAAGGGGAAAGTTTACAAGCCTAGGAACACCATCCCAACTGTGAAGTATGGGGGCGGCAGCATCATGTTGTGGGGCTGTTTTGCTGCAGGAGGGACTGCTCCACTTCACAGCATAGATGGCATCATGAAGACAGAACATTATGTAGAAATACTGAAGCAACATTTCAAGACATCAGCCAGGAAATTAAAACTTGGCCACAAATGGGTCTTCCAAACAGACCATGACCTTAAGCATACTGCCAAATGAGTTAAAATGTGCTTTGATGAATGTTTTGGAGTGGCCATCACAAAGCCCTGATCTAAATCCTATAGAAAATGTGTGGGCAGAGTTGAAAAAGCTTGTTGAAACAGGACAGCCAACAAATCTGACTCAGTTACACCAATTCTGTCAGGAGGAGTGGGCCAAAATTCCTTCGAACTATTGTGAGAAGGATAGCCAAAACATTTGATACAAGTTACACAGTTTAAAAGCAAAGCTAAAAAATACTATTGTATTTTACAATACTGAATGTATTGTTAATACTATAAAATGTGTGTAAACTTTTGACTGACTGGAAATTAATAAAAAATATCTAAAAAAAAAAATCATCTCATTATTCTGACATCTAGCAAATGTAAATGATTTAGGTAATCCTAACGGACCTAAAATAGTGAACGTTTAGTATTTAGAGCGCATGTAAACTTCTAGTTTAAACTGTGTATTATGATACTGTCATACTACGACATATCAAGTATTAACACTCAACATTTTAATTTATATTTAGCATCTCAGGACGCTGCTCATGACATCGACACGTTGAAGAAACTAAAGGTAACAGTTTTTATTTTAAATATATTTGATATTGAGATTATTAGATCTATACACACTTTATGTAGCTAAATTCACATATTAAAAGTATTATTCTCCTCTCTCGGTTTCTCTGCATGTATGATTTATTCCTATGTTTGGGTACTTTTTAAATGTTGTTTAAGCTCTATAAAATGAAAATAATATGTTCAATATTTTACTCCTTATCTCCAGAGACAGTGAGGACAGTCATGTGTCCTCTGATTTGTATTTTTGCTGTAGGTGACTCATGTGCTGAATGTGGCGTTCGGGGTGGAGAACGCGTTTCCTGAACTCTTCACATACAAGACTGTCAGCATGCTAGATCTTCCAGAGACGGACATCACTGCATACTTCCCAGAATGCTTTGAGTTCATAACACAAGCCAGACAGCAGGTGTGTGTGTATATCTCTGACCTATCCTTCTCTTGTTCAGGATAGAGTGGTGTGTGTATTTCTGACCTCTCCTCCTCTTGTTGTTCTTCTCCAGGATGGAGTGGTGCTGGTTCACTGCAACGCTGGCGTTTCTCGCTCTGCTTCAGTGGTCATCGGGTTCCTGATGTCTGAGCTGAAGATGTCCTTTGATGAAGCCTTCAGTGTTGCCAAAACCTCCAGACCGCAGATTCAACCAAACCCCGGCTTTCTCCAGCAGCTCAAGACATATAATCCAGCATGAAACACACACACACACATCCACAATGTGCTTCAGTGCCTAGATGTTTTTCACACCTGCTGCTTGATTATGCTAATGAGCTGAGGAGGTCACACAGGTGTGCTGAATATGTCTCACACTCAACATAAGGGCTGTTTCTCAATTCCAAGAACGCAGAGAACGGACTTGTGTTCTTGTGGAGACCGGTCTTGCCAGGTGTCCTCGGAAGAACGAACTCGGGAGACCACGAGGGCAGAGAACGCGTCATTTGAGAAATGAGATGCCGCGTTCCTCCTGATGGTCACATGACCTCCACGCATTTTAAATGGTAAACTATTTAAACATTACAGCCTTCATACAACGGTTTCCCCGCTCTTCACAATATATACTTTGCATAAAAATATTATAAATATACTCTGCACAATATAAATATAACCGTTTTTAATATGAATTTCAGCAAACAAACACCCTTAATGTGTTTATTCCTTTATTAAGATGTCCATGGTAATGTTTACTTTGACCGTTTCCTTTAGGCAAACTTCTGAGGTAAATAAGTGACATCTCTGCACTTTAATAATAAATTGGGTTAAATTGCTGCGCTTCCCACCTCCAGTCGCAATGACTTCTGGGACTTCTAAAGCGAGTTCGGTGATCAAGTCTGCATCGCTGCGTCCTCGATATCAAAGAGCTTAGAATGACCAAGAGGCGACACTCTAGTGTAATTTGGGAAACAGCCACTAGAGGGCGCGGCGGCCATTTTGGAATGAAAACTCTAATAGAACAACAGCATATTATTGACCTTATTCTAAAATGTGGAAGTGCGCCTGTTTTCGCGATTGTCTTAGAACTTCCGATTCAGTCGCCTATGGGAGAAATGACAAGGAATAATAAACGGCAGAAAATGGCCAAACTACTTGCTCAACAAACAAATGTTTGCATGACTACACAGACCAAGTAGCATATTATAATAAGAAAATGTTAAATTGCAACATCAAGCAGCGTAACGAGCAGTTGTTAACGTCAAAAAATGAATGGAAGTGAATGTGACCGGAAGTCGCGAGACAAAAAGATTCAAATGGCAGCGCCCACTCGACAGCTGAGAATAAGGTGAATAAGTCTGTAAAATAAACTATTAAAAGTGCTGATGATTGTGATAGTAAAGGTTGTATTGTCGTCTTTCATGTTGTATCTCAGCTTTAATACGCTTTTTAAATAGATAAATGAAAAACAAAGCAGCTGCTTGCCATCGCGAAAGTAATGAGATCCAATGGACGGCCGATCACTTTCACTACTAAATGGTGGAATCCAGGGCTGTTGCTGGGCGCTGCTGTTGCATTGGAACGTTCTATTGAGTGTCGCCTCGGTCATTCTAAGCTCTTTGTCGATATCAAGAATACATCCGGGAAGTTTCATGCGCCCTCTGTACTTGCGGAACTGAACTTAGGCAGCTGATGATGATGTTGCACGAGAACACGAGGACGCAAGACCGCTGAAGAACGCATATTGAGAAACAGCCAAGATGCTCCAGAACCAGTGTTGAGATGTTTTTACTGCCAATAAAGGGAAATATAGAGTAAAAGATAAGGAAACTAATATATAATTTAGAAAGGTTTCCAACACAAATACATTATAAGCATCAAATTTTATTCATTTAAACCAGAATGTTGTCATTTTAACAAACCACCATTCATTCATTCATTTTCTTTTACGTCTTAAACTATGGTCACACTAGAGTTTGTGTGTGCTTAATTCTGTCGTACGGCGCTTCATAACAGGGCGGGATTAAACAAGCTTATTAGACACTTAAAAAAAGCGAGCGATTGCTCCATGTTTACATTTCTGTCCAGAGAGGTCATGTTTTGATCCTCGATTGATCTCACGTTGTCAACTTAACGCATTCGCGTGCGTATGAATGGCAGTCAATGGGAGGAAAAGCCCAGTGTGACCGCAGCTTCAGTCCCTTTATTAATCTGGGGTCGCCACATTGGAATGAACCGCCAACTTATCCAGCATATGTTTTACACAGCGCATGCACTTTCAGCTGCAACCCATCACTGGGAAACATCCATGCACACCCATTTACACACACACTACAGACAATTTAGCTTACCCAATTCCCCTATCCTTCGCATGTTTTTTGGACTTGTGGGGGAAACCCACGTCAACACGAGGAGAACATGCAAACTCCACACAGAAATGCCAACTGACCCATCTGAGGCTCAAACCAGTGACCTTTGTGCCGTGAGGGGATCATGCTACTTACTATCAAAAGACCATTATAGTTTCCAATAAAACAGCATAATTTACATTGTAAAAATGTAAATAAATTCCATGAAGGTTTCTATTGTTTTAGGAAATGGCAGGCCTCATATTTATATCAATTTTTTTGGATATTTGTTTTTAAATAACTGTTTATATTTATGCTTGTTTCATAAATTAAACTTTTTATTGATGTTCTTGATGTTTTATCTTGATTTAGTTGGGGACTTTTATTTTTAAATTTATTGTGACGTAATAATTACGTAAGCGCCTGACCTAAACCTCTGTGATGTATCTGCTTGTTAAGTGTGACGTCACGCAAAGCGGCTACATAAAAATGCACGGGGAAGCTCATCAACTGGAAATAATAAACGTTTACAAAGCGCTGTAATGCTTTCGAAAATCACGATCGCAATATATATCCATGCCTAATATTAGATGGCCAGAAAGGGATTCAAATTTGACAAATTCTTAAAATTGTGGTAGTAGTGATGCAGCCAGTCCAGAAACTGATGTGTACGCCATAATTTCATAATAATTTTACTTTAATGTGTGATACGACTAAAAAGTGGCCATAAACGAATATTTTCTCAAGTCAAATGAGTAGTGGCTTAGACCCCAAAACACGACTTAGCAAGCGGATAAGAGGACCTGCTGAAGTGTTTTCTTGACATAAAAGTAGTTACATGAACTTGTTTTCCTTTTACTTTAGGTTTCCATTTTTCACAGCTTGAGCTAAAATGGATGATGGTATTGTTGGGCATTCACAAGCTGCCTTGAAAATGTAAAGGTTATTTTAAAATGTTCAGGGACTCAAAGGCTTTAAATTACTCAAAGCCACAATCTTACAGTCTATGGTCACAGTGCGGTACTTGAAGGGACTATTTTTGGGTCAAAATTATATAAATATTATATACAGTACTGTGTTATATATAGACATATGCTAACGTGTGAAAATAAGTGAAGTTTCACAAACTAATTCCGAGAGGAGCACATGATACGATTGATTGCAGCTGGTCTCTCAGCTACAATCATTAGTTAGGCAATCAGATTAATCCAATCTTACTTTAAGTTGCCTGGCTAAAATTACTCCCTTCGTTTTCCGAAGAAACCCCCCATCCACCCCATCTCCCCCTTTCTTCCTTTACCAGGGGGAGCTCTTCAGAAATACCTGATCTCGTCTCCCCTTACATGCTCATCGAACAGGCGGGAGCCCTGCGCTCAATTATCTCCGAGCTCAGGGTTCTCTCGCGGGACAGCATGCCAAACCTGCTTATACTATCAAACAATATCTAAGCGTGAACTCTTGAAACCTCTTCTAGTGGCGCTAGTTTCACTTTTTTTTTTTATAAGATCTATTACATATGATCAAAAAAGTCAGGGGCCGATCACACAGAACGCGCTTTTTGCGTTGAGAGGCGCCTTTTTTTTTTTGATAGTCGTGAGTGTTTTCCGCTTGCTTATGCACCCTAAGCGCCTCACATTTTTGTGCCGTGTGCTCGCAGTTAAAGAAGTCAGCTCTGAGTGGAAAAGCGTGTTACGTCAGTCGCGTCTTTTTATTCTCCAATCAAATGAAAGCAGAGGCGGCGTTTCCATTAAGGTGAAAGCGGGGTTTGTGTTGTCAAAACGACTATGGAGACTTTTAAAGATGGGGGAGAGACTAGTGGTTACTGTTTTGAGTAATCCAGAGCTGTATTACTTTACAAATCTTGAATATAGCAATATTTTTAAATATTACAATTGTAACAATATCAACAGCAACACTCACGCACAATACACAGCTGATTCAGTCATTGCCTAGTGATGTACAAAGCGCACCGCACTTTTTTGTCAACAATAGGGATAAGGCAGTGTGGTGCGCCTTGCGTTTTTGGAATGTAAATGCGAGTCCGCTGTGATCGGCCCCTCACTGTGCAAAAAGGTCTCATCTTCTAAATTAAAAGGCAGAGTTTAAAATTGTTTAACACGCTAAAATGACATTTAAATTGAATAATTAATAAACTTTTAATAAACGTTCATTTAAATAAAAATAAAAATAAAAAAACAAGCCTGGAGAATATATATTGGACAACACAACGGACAACATACAAAATGTGACAAAAAATCTATATTTATTAAATGCTTTTGCATGACAAGTTTGTAGGGGGATCCAAAAGTTTAGAAAAAGCACCGAGATGTAATTTCAACTGACATCTCATGTATTTCCCCATGTCATCTTTCTTTCAATGGCTCTGTAGAAATATGACAAGCATTTTTTGACAAATAGTTCACCCAAAAATGTGTTGTACACAAAACTCACACCATAAACGAGATGGAGACATAAATAATAAATAGCCAATTATACTAATAATGTTAAAAAAGATGATATTTTACTGTACATCTTCAGACAAACACTACAAAGAATTTGAAGCTTTACAGACGATTCAATCTCTTAGAATTAAAACACCTGCAAAATTGTAAACGTCAAGTTAGAAATAAGAAACATTAGCATTCAAAGGAATGTAACAATTATTATTATTACTTTTAAATGAAAAACAAAACATAAGCACTATCCTGTTGACCGAGTCTATATACATAAGAGCTAAATATTAACCAGACCGAACACCAATGAAGACTGAAACTATTCAGGGTGCGAATCACAGGGGTGGTTTTAAGGAACGGACTTTCCTGAATAACTCATGAGCCCCCTCTAAAGGACGTCAAAACAATGTACAGGAGTCAGACCTTTAATAGTAAGCATTAGTTATCTCTCATGCGTCTCTTTTAATAATGATATTAATAATTAAAATAATAGATAATATAAATATACATTTGAACACCCCTATAACGGGTCATACCATTCATAATCGCGCCATTTCAACCGTCTGACACCGGCAGATGAAGAGCACCAACGGACATCGTGAGTATTCAGAAGACACTTTTCTCGTAAAATAGGTGTTTGTATCAACATATAACCTTAAATAAAGTTAAATTAAAAATAATTTGTATAGTTTGACCTCTGAAATGAGGTTACTGAACGCTAAATAACCCTCAAAACAAAAAATTAATCACGACTTATTAAAATATAGACCATTTCAATGTAGTCATCAAACTAATTCATAACTGCAACAAGAGACAATTCAATCATAACTTATTGTTATCATAACATTATTTCAATTCAACCATAATGTTAAAACAGCTATTATAATATTATTTCAATTAAATTCAATAATAATTCAATCATAATGTTAAAACAGCTATTATAACATTATTTCAATTAAATTCAATAATAATTCAATCATAACGTTAAAACAGCTATTATAACATTATGTTATGATTGAATTATTATGATTGAATTGAAATAATGTTAAAACAGTTATCAAAACATTATTTATCAATATGTGGCAACATTTGGATTATCGGAAGCTGTAAAAATGGAAAATGTAAAACAGGAAATATGTTGGGACGGTTGTTTTTGTTTACATCCCTCAAAATGGTCTATTTGTAATTTAAATAAATACATGCATCTGATTTAATGAAACATGTATTTAACAAACTAATATAACCAAACAATTTGGCCCCATTGAACAGTTGTCCATGTATAATTCGCACCCTGACAGAATTGCGCTGTAAAAGAAGATTCAATAAACATAAATAAACATCAGCTGAATGGAATTGACCTGTAAAACATGGTTTCTGAAACAACAACCATTTGTTTTGTGTTCACAGATGAGTTCTGTATGTTCTTTGGTCTGTGATTAATGTTGGATCTGATGTGCAACACTGTTTGAGAAAGAAACATGATGTCTGGAAGGGATACAGCTGTGGATGCACATCGATATAGCTTCATTTTTATGACACTGTACAACAATATTTTTTACATTAGAGTAAGAGTTGACTAGTCTTGGGGTAGATGTTAATAAAATACAATTTAATAGGTAATTTAATAAATAATATTAATAATTATTGTTAACTTCTGGCCGCAGCTGTATCCCTTCTAGGACAATCTTGCTAGTTTCTCCAACAGTGCGTCATAATAATGGCAGTTGAGCAGCAGGTATTTTCCGCCCTGAGCGGTTTTAGGCGTAGTTGTTGTTGTGCTCCAGCCGGGTAATAATAGTAGACACCAGTCTCTCCAGCTGCTCCGCTCGCTGTTTGCCCGTCTGCAGGACCTCCTCATGGTTGGCTTTTTCCTCGCTGTCGTAATCCATAACTGCTTTATTGGTTATCAAAGACAGAGCGAAGACGCGCATCCCGCAGTGACGGGCTACGATCACCTCATGAACTGTGCTCATGCCTGAAAGAGAGATATTCTGTCATCATTTACATCTCCATTATCTTTTTAAACCTTTATGAGTTTTTTCATCTTCTTTTATACACAATAGAAGATACTTTGAAAAATGTCAGAAACCTGTAGCCATTGACTTTTATACTCCATACTTTTTTTTTTATAATAAATATAGCCTAGACTACATTTGCAATTCTACAGATTCTTCGGCTGTTATAAACCAGCCTAAAGCCCCATCTGCTTTTTTAAAACTAGCATTACAAACTAGCCAAGAGCGCCGTCTGCTGTTAAAAACTAGCCTAGAGCACTGTCTCCTGTTAAAAACTAGCCTAGAGCACCGTCTGCTGTTAAAAACTAGCCTAGAGTGCCACTTACTATTTAAAAACTAGCCTAGAGTATGTCTGCTGTTAATGACTAGCCTTAAAGACTAGCCTAGAGCATCGACTACTGTTAAAAACTAGCCTATAGTACACGCTGCTGTTAAAAACTAGCCTAGATCAACACCAACTATTAAAAAACTAGCCTTGAACGGCGTCTGCATTTTTAAAAACTAGTCTAGAGTACAACCTGCTGTTAAAAACTAGTCTTAAATACTAGCCTAGAGCACCATTCACTGTGAAAAACTAGCCTAGAGCACGTCTGCAGTTTAAAAACTAGCCTAGAGCACTGTCTGCTGTTAAAAAACTTTATCAACCTTTATCAAAACTTTATCAGTGCATTATCAACCATTAAAAACTAGCCTAGAGCATTATCAACCGTTAAAAACTAGCCTAGAGCGCTGTCTGGTGTTAAAAACTAGCCTAGAGCATCACCGGCTGTTAAAAACAGGTCTTAAAAGACTAGCCCAGAACACCGTCTGCTGTTAAATACTAGCCTAGAGCAGTGGTTCTCAAAGTGGGGGTCGGGACCCCCCGAGGGGTCGCGGGGCAATGAAAGGGGGTCGCCTGGTGATTTCCAAAAATCTATTTATTTTTATTAAACCACAAGAATAAACATATTTTATCCATAACTATACAGAAAATAAAAATAGTCGTTTATAGTTACTATATAGTTACTATAGTAGCTTATAGTTACTAGTTCTATTGGATTGCGACCCCTGGGGTAATTACATTATATTAAAGACAGCAATAGCGTCAGATGCATTTTGATTTTATAACAACAGGTTATACTTTCTGGCACATTTAAATCACTGACACAAATTTAATTGGTGTGTCTGCGTCATCGCATGTAAGGTTTCTGTATTTATAACCACCTTAGAGGATATTGGGGGTCGCGAGTCACTGGCATTGTTATTTTGGGGGTCGCGGGCTGAAAAGTTTGGGAACCCCTGGCCTAGAGCACCATTTCCTCTTAAAAACTAGCCTAGAGCGCCGTCTGCTGTTAAACACTAGCCTAATGCGCCGTCTGTTGTAAAAAAACTAGCCTAAAGTACGGTCTGTTGTAAAAAACTAGTCTAGAGCGTCATCTGCTGTTAAACACTAGCCTAGAGCACCTTCTGCTGTTAAAAACTAGCCTAAAGCACGGTCTGTTGTAAAAAACTAATCTAGAGCGCCATCTGCTGTTAAACACTAGCCTAGAGCACCTTCTGCTGTTAAAAACTAGACTAGAGCACCATCTGCTGTTAAACACTAGCCTAGAGCACCATCTGCTGTTAAAAACTAGCCTAAAGCGCCGTCTGCTGTTAAAAACTAGACTAGAGCACCATCTGCTGCTGAAAACTAGTCTAGAGCGCCACCTGCTGTTAAACACTAGCCTAGAGTAACTTTTGCTGTTAAAAACTAGCCTAAAGCGCCGTCTGCTGTTAAAAACTAGTCTAGAGCACCATCTGCTGTTAAAACTAGCCTAGAGCTGCATCAACTGGTAAAGACTAGTGTGCATAAACTATGACAGCTCTGTCTGATTGGATGATGAATGAAGCTGTAGACTCTTACCGACAGCGTCAGCACCCAGTTTGTGCAGCATGCGGCACTCAGCGATGGTCTCGAATGACGGTCCTCCAAGAACACAGTAAACCCCCTCCCGCAGGAAATCACTGAAGCCCAGCTCTGATCCCACATCCAGAGCCATCTGCTGCAGCTCTCGATCATACGCGTCAGACATGCAGGGGAAACGCACTCCAAACCTGAAGAAAATCAACAATATACTGTTAAAGTCAGCATTATGAGCCCCCCTGTATATTTCCCCCCAATTTCTGTTTAACAGAGAGCAGATTTTATTCAACACATTTTTACTCATGATAGTTTTAATAACTCATCTCTAATAAATGATTTATTTGATCTTTGTCATGATGACAGTAAACAATATTTGACTAGATATTTTTCAAGACACTTCTATACAGCTTAAAGTGACATTTAAAGGCTTTACTAGGTTAATTAGGTAAGTCATTGTATAACAGTGGTTTGTTCTGTAGACCAGTGGTTCTCAAAGTGGGGGTCGGGACCCCTTGAGGGGTCGCGGAACAATGAAGGGGGGGGTCGTCTGGTGATTTCCAAAAATCTACTTATTATTAATATTAGGCCATAAGAAAAACCATCTTTTATCCATAACCAAATGAAGAGAAAAAACAGTTGTTTATAGTTACTATAGTAGCTTATTTACTTGTTCTATTGGATTGCGACCCCTGGGGTAAATACATTATTAAAGACAGCAATAGCGTCAGATGCAGCAGATTGATGTTATAACACCAGGTTAAACTTTCTGGCCCATTTACAGCACTGAAATACATAAAAAAAATTGAACGAAGAATAGACTTGAGTCTATTGGTGTGTGTGTGCGCCATTGCATGCAAGTTTTCTGTGTTTATTACCACCTCAGAGGATATTGGGGGTCGCGAGTCCCTGGCATTGTTATTTTAGGGGTCGCATGCTAAAAAGTTTGGGAACCCCTGCTGTAGACGATCAAAACAAATAATAATAATAATAATAATAATAATATTGACCTTAAAATGGCTTTAAAAAAAAAAAAAAACTGCTTTTATTCTAGCTGAAATAAAACAAATAAGACTTTCTCCAGAATAAAAAATATTAGAAAATAACCTTGCTGTTAAACATCATTTGGGAAATAATTTTCACTTCAACTGTATATTATTATACCTGTAAAATTGTCACGTTCACACAGCGATTCTGTTAAATATCCCGAAAATTTAAAAAACTTTTTAGGTTTAATAATAACTCTTTATTATTCATGCAGCTTCTTTTGCCTGTTTTCATTTGACCAATAAACCCTACATAAAATGTTTCCTATATAAAAAAGTTTCCCTTGTTACCTTCTCTCCAAACCCATAGAAAAGGAGTAGATGGTAACGTAACGATTACAAAAGTAACCCTCGTTCCCCGAGGGGGGGTGTGGAAATGCTATGCCAAACTCAGTCCTGGAGGGCCGGTGTCCTGCAGCTCCAACATGCCTCAACACACCTGCAGGGATGTTTCAAGAAAGCCTAGTGAGAGCTTGATTAGCCAGCCCAGGTGTGTGTGATTGGGGTTGGAACTAAATTTTGCAGGACACCGGCCCTCCAGGACTGAGTTTGGACACCCCTGTGCTGTGTGGAAACTTCTACTATGAGGGATTCTGACGAAATCCCCATAGTGGAAGTTTCCACATAGCAATAAAGTCCCCCTCCTGACGGAGAACAACACTTATATAAGGCTTATATAAGGGGAATGTGTGGAATCTCCACATGTCCAAACATCTGCATTGCGTGAGTGTGTTAATGTAAAGGCAGCGCTGTGAATATAATAAACACATATAAACATACCTTTCGTCGTTGTGTCCCGCCAGAGGGTTGTTTCCAGCGAATCCGGGCATGTTGAGGTGGTCTTTGATGATCATGATGTCTCCTACTTTATAGTCCTGGTTCAGACCGCCAGCAGCGTTGGTAAGAATCACCGTCTCCACACCCAGCATCTTGAAAATCCGCATCGGCATCGTAATCTGCAGCAGAACAACAAAACAAATGCTTTGAAATTAGGGATGTACGATATATCAGCGGCCGATAAATGCTATTTTTAATGTTATAGTTACTGGTCCAATATCAAAATTAGGCCGATGTTTGTAAGCCCTTAGATTACGTAGTTGTACAGAACTTCCTGCCCTGCACATGCATAGGTCAAACTTGTTTAGTCTTGTCCAGTGCACTATAATCTGCTTTTATATCAGCTAATATATCAGTTATCAGTCTCCAAATTTTAAGAGTTATCAGTTATCGATATTAGCCAAAAAATTCAATCCATCCCCATCTGAAACTCACTTTATTACTTTCACACCAATGATGATAACTATAATGACTAACACACTATAATGATACAGATATAAATAAAACATTGCACATTTAAAGGGAGTTCACACAAAAATTAAAGTACCCATTGACTTGAATAGTAGAGAAAAATACATTAATGGCATTTATTAAATATATTTTTGTGTACAACAGAAAAAAAAAAGAGTCATTAAGGTTTGGACCCTTTTAATGCAATGTTAATGATAAGTAAGTGTTTTTTTTTGAGTGAACTATCCCTTTAAAAGAATAGAAGAGTTTACACCACATCAACAACGTGCCAGAAAAATAATATTGTTGGAATCAATTTTAGTACGTTTTTCCCCCATTGATGATGACACACAGTGTGAGCATTATTGGTAATGTGTGTTATAGTGGGTGTTAATGCAGTTAGTTCTTGACCTTTAGACTCACATCTGCTAATATGTTGTTATTTTAGCATTACATTTTCACACACACACACACACACACACACACACACACACACACACACACACACACACACACACACACACGTTTGTTTTTGTAAATTGTGGGGGACATTACATAGGTTTCCATTGTTTTATACTGAGTGTAGTGGCTATTTTCTCTAAGGAGGCTCTCTCAGTGGTCAAGAAACAAAGTCTTACCCGGGATGTCTTTTACAAGTTTTATTCTTTATAAAGAAGATCACAGTCATACAGCAACAACAGCTTCTGCAGAGTGAGATACTAAAGCAAAGTGTGTTCCCCTTTTTATCTAGTTTGTACTGCTTACGAGGTCAACTCCCAATAAGGCCTCATCTACAATTACATCAGGTGTCTTCTGCTGTTCGTGCTATATGCTCATAACAACCACACATCCTTCTTAGGATAATGAAAAAGCTTTCACCTAAAGAAATATAGTTATCTAGAAAAATGTACACATAGGTTTTATGATGAACATATGGAGAACACAGATACACACACACACACATGTAATAATGAGTCTTAGACAAGTTTCTAACATATAAAGCTCATCTAAAAATGAATTTCCATTACATGAGCAAACTGTATTTTCTATTGCCCTAACCTGACCCTACCCCTAAACCCAACCCCCTTGCTTATTGAGAAATGAGGACATGAGCAATGTCCTCATATTTCACCACCTTCTTGTAATACCTGTCATACCCACATCATTATACAGATTTGTGTCCTAATGTCACAAAAACACGTACACACACATGCACACACACACACACACACACACACACGCAAAAGTAATGTAATGTTTGCACTCCTCAGCATCAAATAATCAGTCACACACACACAAGACTAACAGTTAAATCTAATTGGGTTTACAATCAGACAATTAGATTTATCAGGTGGTTTAGAGTAAAGTCTGCTGCACTTGGTTTGCTCCTGTTAAATGGATATTGAAGTCAGAGGCCTTTCAATTTTAGCTTAAAAAAGTAAGTTCATTGAGGACAATAATGTCTGTGCTCAAAAAAACGCAGCTTAAAAGTATCATATTTCAATATCATTACATACTTACTGTCAACTACCAGTCTCACACACACATACAAACTTCTCAATTTATGGGAGGAAACCCACGCCAACATGGGGAGAACATGCAAACTCCACATAGAAATGCCAACTGGGCCAGCCAGGACTCGAATCAGCGACTTTCTTGTTGTGAGGTGACAGTGCTAACTACTGAGCCAGTTTTTAAACTGTTAAATGCAAATAATAAGAGGTGTTTCATACCTTCTGGATGGGATATCCTTCATAGAGATGAAAGCGTCCCTGCATGCAGACACACGGCCTGCCCTTTAAAGTGCCAAACACCAGCCGACCCGCATGACCGTGAACTGCAGATGAGGAGACGATGTGTTAATTTAGGATTTAAATAGATCTTTCGCCCAAAACTAAAATTTCTGTTAGTATTTGCTCACTCCTCATTTCTCACAAAGCCGTTTTGCTTCATTTTGTTAATGTTGAACACAAAAGAAGATACTCTGAAGAATGTTGGAAACCTGTAACTGATTTACATAGTATTTGTTTTTTGTCCAATTATGGGTGCCAGTGGGTATGGATTTGTTTAACAAAGATATAAACAGTGAATTAAGAAGTTAAAAGTCAGAATTAAAAATGTAAACAATTGCGAACAATTGTGAATGTAGGATTCAAAAATCGAATTAATAACAATAATAAAAAGATTTAAACAAATAAAGTAGAACGAAAAACGTTCAGAATTGACATCTTAACTCAAACAAAAGTCAAACAAACAGACAACAATTACGAGATGTAAACTTTAAAATCGAAGAAAAAAAAGTCAGAAATATGAAATCAAAACTAAAAGATTGAACTCAAAAGTCAGAATCGGGAAATGTAAACTCAGTCTGAAGTAAAAAAAAAACAATGATGTCCCAAAATTAGAAAAAGGTTTTGAGAATTGCGATTTACAAAATGTTAACTTGTTTACAAAAAGTCAGAGCTATGAAATAAAAATGACTTCTGGAGAAATAGTAAAAATAAAAGATATAAACTGAGAATTATGAGGAAAGAAAAGTCAGAATCACTAAATGTAATCTCAGAAATTCACTATTACAAGATGTAAACGGGCAATTCAAACAAAACAAAGGTCATGTTTTTTAAATTAAACACTTAGATAATAGAATTACCTGATGTAATTCTAATGGTATAAAAGGTTTACCATTTCCCAAAATATCTTTTGTGTTCAACAACAACAACAAAAAGACTTGAAATGACTTGAGTAAATAATGCGTAATTGTTCACTGGGGTGAACTATCCTTTTAAGTAAAGACCTGGGGGTGTTGTTTATAAAACTTTGCATAGAAACCATCCTAAAAAATGTACACTAGAATAAAAGTTAATGTATTTATTAATGATTATGGCTCTTAAAAAGATTTAAAGTGGCTCAGTTAAGTTAAATATGCTGACTTACAGCTGTGCACATTCTCCAATCAAGTTTGTTTAGATCACAACTCATGTGTTGTGGAGAATGTGCGCAGCTGAAAGTCATCACAGCTTTAACTTAAATATTGACACCATTAAAATCCCCATATAAGCCATAATCATTAATACATAAATGTACTTATTTTGGTATATGTTCCCTTTCAGGACGAAATCTAAGTGAAGTTTTATAAATAAGAGCCCAGGTTTTTACGAGACAAGGCATACAGTATTTTACATACAGTTGAAGACAGCATTATTCACCCCCCTGTATATTATTTTTAACATTTCTAATCATGATAGTTTTAATAACTCAGTTATAATAACTGATTTCTTTTATCTTTGCCATGATGACAGTAAATAATATTTGACTAGATATTTCTGAAGATACTAGTATTCAGCTTTAAGTGACGTTTAAAGGCTTAACTTGGTTAATTAGGGTAATCAGGGTAATTAATCAAGTCATTGTATAACAGTGGTTTGTTCTGTAGACTATGCAAAACCAATATTGTTTTTAGGGGGCTAATAATATTGACCCTTATATGGCTTTAAACACTTTTTATTCTAGCCGAAATAAAACAAAAAAGATTTTCTCCAGAAGAATTTTTTATAGGAAATACTGTGAAAAATTCCTGACTCTGTTAAACATCATTTTCTTAATATTGGAAATTTACAGGAGGGTGAATAATTTTGGCTTGATTTGTATCTGAGAAAGCCTCACCTGTACTCTGGGGAAAGTTAGGAATGTCCCGGTAGTTGAAGGCCACCTGGTCTTTCAGAGCATCAGCCAATCCACCCAAACCCGAACCACACACGATGCCCACCAGAGGGCGCACTGCAGTCTGGGACAGGAGCCAATCAGCGGTGGCCTGGCAATCCTCGAAACTGTACCTGCAGGCAGACAGAAAGAGACTTTGTCTTTAGATATTTGAAAATTAAAGAGGTTTAAAAGTCAAAGTACAATTTTAACAAAATGTCACAAAACTGTTTAATCACCAATCAAAAAACAGCACATCCTCTTCATATAACAAACATAAAGCTTCATTCACTCACCATTTAGGCGTGGGCTGGTATAAGATTCTAATAGTATGAAAACCTTGGATAAAACCTTCACAGTATTGCGATTAATTCTCTAAAATAAGTTCTTTCTAAACGTCTGGAATCTCTGGATAATAAAAAAAAAACATTTCCCCCATTGAACACAATATAATTTCTTTTAAGAGGCATTTTAAATATTTTACACGATAAACATGTCAGGCCTAATCATTAAAATAAATCATCGACTTCTACTGCCTTGGTTAGTTTCAAAAACACTGATTTCTTTACAGCTTGTAAAGGCATCTTTGGAGATCTTGCTTTTGTTTGGATACACTGTAAAGCCACTGCACTGCTCAGGTCTATGGTATGCTTAGTTGTTGATTTATAAGCGATTTGATTTTCAGATATTTGCTGAATCATGGGGTGACCAGTAGTTCTGTTCTGCTGGTGGTACTGTTGTCTTAAACTCAAATTAAATTAAATAGTCGTAAAGAATACGTAAAAAAAACTCTACATACAGTTGAAATCAGAATAATTAACACCCCATTGAATTTCTTTTTCTCCTTTAAATATTCAACAAATGATGTTTAACAGAGCAAGCAAATTTTCAGTCTGTCTGATAATATTTTTTTTCTTCTGGAGAAAATCTTATTTGTTTTATTTCAGCAGTTTTTAATATTTTAAAATCATTTTAAGGTCAATATTATTAGCCCCTTTAAGCTATAATTTTTAATAGTCTACGAAAACAAACCACTGTTATACAATGACTTGCCTAAGTAACCTAGTTAAGCCTTTAAATGTCACTTTAAGCTGTATAGAAGTGTCTTGAAAAATATCTAGTCAAATATTATTTACTGTCATCAGGGCAAAGATAAAATAAATCATTTATTAGAGATGAGTTATTAAAACTAATATGTTTAGAAATGTGTTGAAAAAAAAGTCTTCTCTCTGTTAAACAGAAATTGAGAAAAAAAAAATAAACAGGGGGGCGAATAATTCTGACTTCAATTGCATACCTTAGGAACAGTATAACTAATAATTTTAGGGGTTTTAAAACCTTGACTTTTCCAAATCACGAGAGAGAGAGAGAGAGAGAGAGAGAGAGAGAGAGAGAGAGAGAGAGAGAAAATTAAACAACTTTCATTAAACATCAATCTTAAAAATTACATAAAATATTGATGATACACACTCATAATCATTTGTTTTTTTTTTTATTAATTTTCTGCACACAATTTCTTAAATTAAAAAATCTGCAGACTTATGTGGAATGATTTTGGCAGTATAGTAACTGAAAACAGCAAATCAAAAATAACAACTTAAAAAGATAATAATTAAGGTTTACAATCCAAATCTAATTAGACCCAATTGTTTGGTTAACAAAAAAAGCAAGTCTCTCATATAATAATAATAATAATAATAATAATAATAAAAAAAAGAAAAAAAAAGAAAAAAAAAATATATATATACTAAAAGACAGAGGACATTACATCACAAACTGTATTATTGTAAATAAATCATGTAAACATTTGCACATCAGCCAATAATATAACTGATATCAATATAAAAACGGACTAAATATATATTTACACAAGTAAATAAATACAGTTGATGGGCAAAAAATCGTCATATTTCTGCACGAGCCTACTTATACTACAATATAGTACATTTAAAAATAAATAAAGTAACCATTCACCATGAAAACGTCTTGTTGCTGCATCAAATGCTTTCAAATGTGACAAATGCATCAATAGACTTAATAAAGAATAATAAAGAAAATCCCACATAATTCTTGATTTCACCAAAACAAAACTACAATGTTCTGATTTGTGTTTGTTCTGTTTTCTTTTTTCCAGCTTGTGTAAATGGCCAGTTTTGCCTATATAACACAATGATGTGATAGAGAAAAACATGGGAAGAGAGAGAGAGAGAGAAAGAGCGGAAAAATTCTTGAGAGCGCTGGTTATGTAAACACACACACACACACACACACACACACACACACACACACACACACACACACACACACACACACACACTTCCCAATCAGAAGCCACGTTCATACTACACACATTCATATTCATCAGTTATGCAAGTTGTATAAATAAACAAAAGCTTCTGCTTATATATTATATAGTTTCAATACCAAATTCTGTAATAGATCTGAATGGCTATGAAGTGTGCAGATATCAAAAAAAAAAAAAATAATAATAATGTTGGCAGATCTGAAACGTGAGCCACTTTTCAACACCACTGCTGTAACCGGAGAATCTGATACTGAAATAAACCTTCGGTGACTGAGCGTCTTTATGATTAGCACTGTGGCCTAAGTTGACTTCGAAAGTAGATTTAACTGTAGAAAGTACACATTTTAGGCTGTCAAAACATATAAGCAAAATCTGAAAACAGCCAATGTCCAAAAACACTATAAAAAATACTGTTAGTCTCGTTTCCTAAGGTAACTTTAGTTGATTTGCTAACTAATAGCCAATCTGGGATAGTCAATGACTGGATATTTGTGTCACACTATATTTTGAAGTACAATTATCACTATTAATAAAGCATTAACTTTGACTTCTGCCTCAATAAACTCCCATTTAGCTGCTTATTAATAGTTATTAAGGTAGTCGTTAGGTATTGGCATTAGGGATGTAGAATATGTGCTTCATTAGTGCTAATAAATAGCCAATATCCTAATATTTGGTAGGTAATGAGTAGGCCAGCACGAAATCTACATGCAGAGAAATCTGCAGATTTCCAGCCCATCATTGAATCTATTTATTTAGTTGTTTGTAAATGTGTGTAAATTGTTATTTATTCAGTTTATTTTATTAATTTCAGTAATATTACTGACTAATATGAAAGCGTTGATATGATTTACTTACAATACAGTTTGTAAAGTAATGATTTCTGTGTTTTAGCAGATATATTATATAGAAGACTTGCTTTGTTTACTAAATAAACTGATCTAATAGGATTTGCATTGTAAATATTAAATAAAAGTTAAAATGTATTATTTTTTATTTAACATATTTTTAGTTATGATACTCCCAAAATCATTCCGCATAAATGTAGCAGATTCTGTCTTGCCCTAGTAATGAGCCACTAGTTAATAGTGATAATTGGTACTTAAAGGGTTACCAAAAGTTTATATAGTGTAGGGGAAAGCTATTTTGATGAGCACATTAAATATAACGTGTTTTAATTATGTTTTTTTAATTATTATTTTACAATAATACTATTATACTTTTTGGAAACTGAAATACAAATCAAAATTCTCATTTTTGAGATGTTAAAAACAAACGAAAACAGCTGACTTTTGTTTAAATGGGAGCCTGTTTCAATTATTACATAATTCTGAGCGTTTAAAACCCAAAATGTCCGCTCTTAAAGAGACAGTAAAAAAAAAATGTCTAAAAAAATGTCCTCATCATTAATTCACATTTGAAGTGGTTCGAACTTTTAAGAACCTATTTCTTCTGTTCTGTTAAACTGAAGCAAGATTTTTCTTTAAAGAATTGTTGACATCGATAGTAAGCCTAGCAAAAATTTCAATCAGGGTTTCTGCAGGTTTCATCGAGTTAAATGTAAGACTTTTTAGAACATTTTTGAGACCATTATGAATTATTTTTTTGACTCATAAAGCGTTGAAGGCTAAGTAAATTTTCTAACGGCCCACATGAAAAAGATTTTTATTTGACCTATTAAAAAAATTATAATTTAATACATTTAATAATACAATAATACATAAATAATAAACACTTAAAATATTTGAGATTTTTTTTCTTAGCTAAATAGTTTAGATATTGTGTAAAAACAGGCAAGTTCTACTTGTATCCATACACTTTTCCCCAACATAAACTTTTTTTTTTAAATAAAAAATAATAACAAATGTTTTAAAAGTTTAAAAACGATAATAAATTAAATCCTTGGAGAATAATCTGTCCAGGTCGGTGTCCTCAGCAATAAATATGGAGAACTTTTAAACAAAGGTTATTGAAAAGAAAATAATTACATCATTATGAAAAATTTACTTTAAAAAAAAACGTTTAAAGTTTTATTGAGATGGATTGTATGGGTTTTGGCCAGATTGGGTAGCAATACTTAAACAAGAAAAAATTAAGACCTATTTAAAAAAGATTTAAGACCTACAACAAAATGTTTCAGTGAATTTAGGACTTAAGGCCTAAAATTGAGATTTTTATATTTAAGACCCTTAAGACTTTTAACACCCAGCAGAAACCCTGTTTAATAATTATGTTAATTCCTTACATTTATATAGCACTTTTGTGAACACTCAAAGCGCTTTAACGTTACACATTTTTGAGGGGGATCTCCTCATCAAATAAGGAAGTCGATGGCTGTTTCCTATCCAACATTCTTCAGGATATCTTTTTTGTGTGTTCAACAGAAGAAAGAAACTCAAACACATTTGGAACAAGTGCAGGAAAGTAAACGATGACATATTATTTATTTCGGGGTGAACTGTCCCTATAAATCACGACACAGAAAACGGAGCAGCAGTTTCCGCCCACTGGCAGCTGTTCCAGACACACACCCGCGCATCACCACGTGCTCCTCACCGACAGAACTCGATTAACTTCACTTCACAACTATAATGAATGAATGAATTAATTAATTGAGAAACATCAACTTTAAACAACTAACAAAGTTCTTGCTGTATCTACAGTAAAGCGGGATTCAAATTAAATTCACAATCTAAACACAACACGTGAAAAACTCTCTAAAGAAACTACTAACTGAACTGTGTAAAGATAAATAATAATACTGTACCCAGTGTTGCTCTCGGGAAACATGATTCAAGTCGCTGCTTTGGTCCTTGAACAGTGCAGAACGGAAATTTCAGTGTTTCTAAAGCGGCAGATGTGAATAAAATATCCGACGAAGCACCGGAGAAACGAATAACGGAAATTTAAATAAAAAACCGTCGTCGGTGTAACGGTTGAACACTCAAGTGAAAATGATTTAAAATTCCTGAAGCGTCGCTCTCGTAGCCGGTATTCTTATAGAGCCTCCGTTTCCGCCACTCCTCCCGCGCTATGACGCAAATGAACACACACACACACACCCCTGATGACGCAACCGCCCGTGGCCAGGGTGAGTTTTGGGCTCTAAAGCTTGAGTAACAGCTGTCACTGTCTAAAATCGCCGCATAAAAATGGGTTTCAGCTATTAGATTTGTAGGTACACAAAGGCATGTGAGTAAACGTCATCCAAATATAAACACTGGCATGTGGGTTAATGTGTTTGGGGCTCAAATTCACAATGATTCGGACAAACTAATAGACTATATGAATGAACTTGGTCAGACTTTAATTCTTTACTGAACACAAACCAAACAGCGTTTATAACCATATAGCTAAAACTTACGACTACACTGCAATTAGTTGACTTTAAACTCGTTGCCTTTGAATTACACACACAGTTTGTTTACTTTATAATTATAAGGTAAGTGAATGCGTTTACTGACTTTTTAAAAGGATAATCAACTTGTTTCTTTTAGGGCAACAGGTTTACAGACTTTTCAAACGTAAAATAACCCAAGTAATCACTTTTTTTTACAGTGTACATTTGTTAAATCAACAACAACTAATAAATACACTGAAAATATTAACAGTTTCTGTATTTTTCACAAGTGTTTTGTGTTTATTTAAGGTTATGGGATGTTGATCTCTGCTCTGTCGACTTTTGATGTGGAAAATTAAACTCTACAGTTGAGCAAATAAACTTTTATTGACATTTTAGTAGTTTTAAATAATCTAATGTGTAAGAAATAATAATATAGAGAGAAACAAATCTGTGAAATAACAGAAAATGTACTGGCGGTTTATTACAAGGTTTCTGTAGCGTAATAACACCAACCAAGATAATGTATCACTTTAAACTATTAAAAATGTTCATGAAAGTCAAGTTTTCAAAATGTTTTAATGTTAAAAGTAGTTGGAAGAAAGAGCAAGATCCCATAATGCAACTCAAAAGCATAAATTCATGGGTAAAAATAAAAACATCAAACACAAAATAGTTAAAACTGCTAATTTACGAATATGTTTGTACAGTGTAGGCCTACTGTTTTTCATTGACATTAACCAATATGAATAAATACTGTAATAAATGCATTATTAATTGTTTGTTCAGGTTAGTTGGCTAAATATATTATTTACTTATTTAACCAGGAATGTCCCATTGACATACAATATCTATTCTACCAGGGAGTCCTGATCAAGACAGGAAGCCTAGGACAGAGTTACAACAACACATAGACACACAAAATATATAAATTATAAACATGATCAATTATTAAAACATGTGCACTGTTCTAGATGGACAGATTTTAAAATAGTTTTAACTTTAGCGATATATGGCACAGATTTCATATGCAGTACATCTTAAAGCTCATTCCACACAAATGGAGCTAACTTACGGTGCTTTCACATCTGTAGTTCGGTTCATTTGGTTCGGACCAGAGCAACATATGATACATTGTAGCATTTTCTGCCGTCATTGGGTCGTTTTCACTCCACACTGATTGCTTTGGTCCGAACCAGTTAAAAAACCAAAATGCAGTCGTCTGACAAAATCCACATCTCTCATTGGCCAGATGTTATTGAATACATTGCCTAAGCTGCTTTTCTATTGGTCAGAATTCACATGCCAATAGAACTCCAAGTAAACAAAGTAAACAAACCAGCAGACATAAAATGTCGCTTTTTACTACGGAGCTACGACTGCCCTGACTGATTATATCCCTGCTCATATAGTTTGTATACATTACTTTAGGCAAACTATACATTTCCAGATGTATTTTTTGCAGTTGGGTCTGATTTAGTTCGGATCATATTCTCACAACAAATGAACCGCTTCAGGGCTCATTTGAAAGCGTACTGAGATCACCTCTTCAAGCAGGTCTTGGTACACTTTTTTGGTCCATTTTTGTTGCGCACTCAAGTGCGATTGCTGCATTTACACCTGCCCAAACAAACTCTAGTGTGATTCAACCAAACTAAAAAAGGCAAGTGTGAAAGCACCCTTAGAGAATGCAGATTGACCTGTCTCTTTGGGAAAAAAATGGCACTTTATCTGCTGATCAGGTATTATAAGTATTTAAACAGTACACACCATGAAACTACATGTGGTAATTTACTAACTAAAGCTTTACAAATAAAAACAAACATATTAACTCATTAACTACAAATGATTGCTTATAATAAATGAAAATATAAATAAACAGTATATATAAAAAAACAAACATATTTAAATCCCTTAACTGTCGCCCACAGTTTTTGTCCATGTGGATTGCTGTAGCAAAGTAATGCTTTATGAATCAGATGACGTTGTCCTTGTTGCAAATTAATAATTAACTGTTGCTAGGGCTGGGCGATTTGGCCTTAAATCAAAATCTTGATTAATTGAACATTTTAACTCGATTATGATTAATGAACGATTTTTTTTTTTTTGTTTATTTTAGTTTTTGGCCCTCATAGTTCACTGGCAGGTGTTGGACAGTAAATATGCTCACTTATTACAAGTGAGAGCTTTTTGAATGTAGGGTTTATTAGTTAGTTTTAACATAATTGATGTAAACACACACTATCTACTCATTCATTCATTTTCTTTTCGGCTTAGTCCCTTTATTGATTTGGGGTCACCACAGCGGAATGAACCACTAACTAATCCAGCATATGTTTTACGCAGCAGAAGCCCTTCCAGCTGCAACCCATCACTGGAAAGACACTATCTACTATCTATGCTTATTTATTGAAAATCAACGCTGAACAACTGAAATTAAAACACCCATATGCTAAAATGCAGCTCTCTGCACTGTCCACCGTCTTCACCGCTATACAAAACCGACCAATCACAAAGCTTGTACTAAAGTTTTTTTTTTTTGAGAGAGAGAGAGGTGTGTTTATGCGAAGGCTGTGCTGGACTGTACACGTGGCCTTGGCAGAAGTGAATAAGTATAATTTAGCCTTAACAGAGCAGAGTCACATGACTCCACACACAGTAGGGAAAGTATTCGAAAAAATTGACCTGGACAAAATAGGTCGAAATCAACATTCTGAATCTAGAATTGATTACTTTTCGATTAATCGCCCAGCCTTACGCTGTTGCTTAGTAACATTCATTCATTCATTCATTTTCTTGTCGGCTTAGCCCCTTTATTAATTCGGGTTCGCCACAGCAGAATGAACCGCCAACTTATCCAGCAAGTTTTTACGCAGCGGATGCCCTTCCAGCCGCAACCCATCTCTGGGAAGCATCCACACACACATTCACACACACACTCATACATGCTTAGTAATATCTATCAGAAATGAAAAGAAACTAGAAATTTTAAGCTTTTAAATGACAGTTTGTCATGAATGCTTTACGTTTAACGTACAATATTATGGTTTAAATACGGAACCGTAAATGGTCCCACAGGTGTTCGGGTGGCAGTAAATGTGTTTAAATCTATTACTCTTCCTACATAACCAACAACAATGGTAAACTATGTATTCAGAAGTCTTAGACCTTTCCAACGATATAGTTTGTCGTAATTAGATTAGAATTTAGTTGCACAAACGCAATGCAAACTTGGTGGGACAGTGACTCAGTGGTTAGCACTGTCGCCTCACAGCAATTTGGCATTTCTGTGTGGAGTTTGCATGTTCTCCCTGTGTTGGCATGGGTTTCCTCCGGGTGCTCCTGTTTCCAGCACAGTCCACAAATATGCGCTGTAGCTGAATTGGGTAAGCTAAATTGGCTGTAGTGTATGTGTGTGTGTGTGAACGTGAGTGTGCATGGGTGTTTCCCAGTACTGAGTTGTGGCTGGAAGGGCATCTGCTGCGTAAAACATATTTAGTTGTGGTGACCCCTGATGAATAAAGGGACTAAGCCGAAGGAAAATGAATGAATGAAAAATGTAAACGTAAGTGTTAAACCCAATGCTGGATTTAATATGGACAAACCCAACAGCTGGGTTAAAAAATACAGTTTAAAAAATGTTGCAATGTTGGGTTTGTCCAAATTTGACGCAACACTGTGTTTAAAAACATGCTCCTTTAAAAAAAAAACTGAACTTGAAAAACAGCTAATTATAATGTTGTGAATTTTTGGGTGTGTATTTAAGTGCACACATTTGGACATACTTTGACTCGCTCTACCCCCTCCCTGTCCCCAAGTCAAAATCGCAGAATTCAGTCCTTCAACATGCTCCACATTTTTCCTAAATATCATATGTTTGTCACAGGCATTGTTGTGGCACCTTTTAATAATAATAATAATTTTATTTTAGTAAAGGTGCCATAACCAGGTTTCCTCTGTGTATTGCTTGCCATTTGTATTACCACAATTTCCCCACAAATACCACACAGTGTTAACAATTTCTTGAAGAATCTACAGTAACCTACTGGCAGCAATTCACAAGTAACTTACTGTAAATTAATTACAGCAAAAATACTGTATTTACAGCACTATTTATCTTGCTGTATATGATTTATTTACAGAATTATATGTATATCTTCACTGTAAAATGTACAGTTATGTTCACAATGCAACTTTAAAATACAGTAACATACCGCCTAACTGTCCTACAGTAAAGTGCAGTGCATATCATAGTTAAATACTGTCGTTTACAAAAATCGTTAACAGTGTAAATAAAACATGGTTAGTGTGTACTCTATAAACCCTGGATTGTTATAACTAAAGCTTGAGTCATATGACGCAACCATGGGGTTAAAAAGTGCCATTTTAATTTAATTAATTTACTTTAGGTTTGTCCATATTTGACAGTGTTGGTTGTAATTAGTTGCAAGTAAAATAGTAACTAAAAATAAAGTAAACTGTCACTTATGTTGGTAAATGCTGTACATGAATACCACAGCTCTGTATAAATCAGTTCAGAGAAGCAGAGTAATTGTATATATTTTGATATACAAATATAGTTTACAGTAGGCATGGGCCGGTATAAGATTCTGATGGTATGAAAACCTTGGATAAAAATATCACGGTTTCACGTTATTGTGATGACTGCTGTAAAATA